TAAAAACAAAAAAGAAGGAAAAAATAAATTTTTACAATATATAAACTCATGGAACCACTTTAACTAAAGAGTCTCCTGGAGGTATGAGCTTGAAGCGGTTTGCGTGGTGAGCCCGCCTACGCCACGACGCCTACATCCCAATCCCCAGAGCTGTGGATTTGCCAGATTACATGGCGAAGGAGAATTAAGGTTGCAGGTGGAATTAAGTTTCTTAATCAGGTGACCCGGAGATGGGGAGATGACTCTGGATTATCCGGGTGGACCCAATGTGATCACAAGAGTCCTTATAAACGGGAGAGAGAGGCAGAAGAGGAGGTCAGAGGGAGATGTGACTATGGAATAATTATCTGTCAGACGGATGCGACATTGCTGGCTATAAGATGGAGGAAAGGGCCATGAGCCAAGGAACATGAGTGGCTTCCAGGAGCTGAAAAGAACAAGGAAATGGCTTCTCCAGTGGAGCCTCCAGAAGGCACACAGCCCTGCCCACACTTCAGTTTCAGCCCAGTGACATCATGCTGGACTTCTGACCTCCAGAACTGTAAGACAACACATTTGTGTTGTTTTAAGCCACTCCATTTGTGGTCATTTGTTAGCGCAACCACAGGAAACGAATACGGTTTGTTTCTCACAATGCTGCTGCCTGGCCTCGCACTTGTTCCATTGGGAAGTGGCCTCCCCCAAGGACGTTTCAGTCCAATTCCAAAACTTTCAAGTTACTTTTGATTGTCAAGCAGACTCATTTCAGTTTTAAAATTTTAGTCATGCTCATTTTAAAACTTCAGTCTTTGACTCAAAGCTCCACCCTTGGCCCCAGTGAGGGGAGTGGAGAGAGGTGGGGCTGCCTCAGCATCCCCAGCCCTCCTTGCCTGCCTTACTTCCCTGGTACTGGATTGCGGTGGAAAGACAGGGATAAACAGCTTACTACGGGAAGTCTCTCATCAGTGGACCATTCCTGTGGATCTACTTTGTGTTGTTGGGTGGAGACTCAACCCCTGGCCCTTGAGAGGTCCCTTGTGGTCCCTTGAGAGACTCACCTGCATCTTTGGGCTGACTGTCAGCATCTTCTCATGCAAACTCTCCTTTGGCCATGCTTCAGGAGCTCTCGGGGGCCTGCATCCCACAATCTTATCTGTTCCAGGTCTGCTGACACAGGTAGGATTCAGCTTCCACACCTTTCTAGGGCCCGAACTTGATCATGCAGCCATTACACACCCACCGCCGTGCCCACCCCCCCACCCCCACGCCACTGGCTGTACTTCCTGCCATCTCTCTCCAGAGCTCCTCTCCCCTCTCTGGTGGCACCCTGGCCATGAAACTAGGCTGGTAGCCCAGAGGACATCCAACTGGGAATGGTATGTGATTCTCTTGGGGACCCACTCTCCCTGCCGCGGTCTCCCAGAAAGATAAGCTTTTTTTAGTTCTAAGAGGCATTTCTCAGCAATCCATGGGGAAGAGTGCTGTTTCTCTGGTCTTAGAATGTGGGGAACTTGGGACTTTGATTTGCAACTGTGGGCCCTGATCATTCATTCTGCGGAATTCCTTGGTCCTTCACACCACCATATCACTACCACAGCAATGCTCCCCTTAAGTAAGATATCCTGAACCCCATTTGGCCTTTCCTTGGTGACTCAGGGGCATCATGACCTAACATCAACAGAGGAGGGCCCTGTGACATAGAGAGACAGCCATTCCACCCTCCTTCCTACCTGGAGGTCTTGAGCAGATCATTTCACCTCAATCTCAGCTCCCTGTCTGGAAAAGAATGTAGTGGGGAGGATGAAATGAGGTGAGAGATGAGAACGCACTTGCACACTGCTTGGTGCCCTGAATACCCTTGAAACATCTGATGGCAAATCAAATCCATTCGATTTATAAGAACAAAACTACAAAATACTTATCACTCTATGTGGTTCTGAAGAGTGACCCATAGTTTTACTTTCTGACATCATTCTACTTCCTCTTTCTTCCCTAGGAAACTGGTACGAATGAAATTTCTTTGAACTTGAAATCTGAGCAGTGGTTTTTCGTGGAAGCTACGCTACATGGTTGATTGACTCTTTTTTCAGTTTTATCAAAGTGAATGCAAATAGTTAAAAAGTCAGCTGATTCAGAGGGTACATGGTGGAAAGTTACAGCACCCTGTCTTCCCACTTCCATCCTTCCAACCAGTCCTACTCCTCAGATGCGACAGCTTTTAACTCTTGTGTCTTGGTATTTACTTCTACAGCTCTAAAGAGTATGTTTATGGGGCGGCCCAGTGGCATAGTGGTTAAGTTTGCGTGCTCTGCTTCGGCAGCCCGGGGTTTGCAGATTTCGATCCCTAGCAGCGCTCGTCAAGCCACGCTGTGGCAGCATCCCACATAAAGCAGAGGAAGATTGGCACAGATGTTAGCTCAACGACGATCTTCCTCACAAAAAAAAAAACCAAAAAAGAGTATGTTTATGTTGCTTTTTGGAGAAATCCTTCAAGAGGAAAACAAGAAGACAAAGAGATAGAAAATATGAGAGGAAAATTAGACCAAAAATCAGGAGACAAATATTTGAATAAGAGACAAGAATGAGAAAATGGAAGGAAGAAAATTCTATCCATCCATCTATCTGTCTATCTATCTATTTATCTATCTATCTATCTATCCATCCATCCATCCATCCATCCATCCATCCATCCCTCCCTTCCTCCATCCATCCATCCATCCATCTGGTTCCCCAGAGGTAAAGAAGGTGAGATTCCAATTTAGGTTTGTTGAACAGAGGTTTCCTGCTGATATGTAGTGTCTTCTCAAGGCCAGTGCCCTTTGACTTCATTGGGCCCGGCTAAGCGAAATTTTCCAGGCCCCTACTGAAAGCCAAGTTTCCAGTCTCCATGGTTTTTCTCTTTCCCTTTGCTCTTCTTTCTCTACTGCTTTCTTTTGCGCATCCTGAAAAGGTGATCTACAACAAAACCTCTGCCTGTACATGCTTTGGGGGCGAGTTAACCTGGGTGGCTGACACTTCCTTTTAAGTGTAAATCCCCAGCACATCCACCAACGTGGATAAATGACAAAAGCATAATGTTGAGCAAAAAAGTAACACATGATTACACATGATTGATTTTGCCACATATAACTTTATTAATAGCCAAAGAATGTTATATTTGATGAAACCAAACTTTCACTAAAATAAACAAAATTTGGGGGCCGGCCCGGTGGCACAGCAGTTAAGTTCACATGTTCCGCTTCAGCGGCCCAGGGTTCGCCAGTTCGGATCCTGGGTGCAGACATGGCACCGCTTGACAAGCCATGCTCTGGTAGGCGTCCCACATATAAAGTAGAGGAAGATGAGTACAGATGTTAGCTCAGGGCCGGTCTTCCTCAGCAAAAAGAGGAGGATTGGCAGCAGATGTTAGCTCGGGGCTAATCTTCCTCAAAAAATAAAATTAAATAAATAAAATAAAATAAACAAAATTTGGAACTAAAATCCAAATCATGATATAACAACAAATAAATGAAGACACCAAGTTAGTAATACAAACACATGTTTACAGAGTAAGCCAAGTTAGAAGGTTTTTGTAGAAATAATGGCTTTAGCAGTAGCCTCATTTTGCCCCTATTCCTCTTCCACCTGCCTGGGTCCCTGTTTATATCATTAATATTACTCAAAAGCATGAATCAGAAATGGCACCACCCAAACATGCATGGGTGAATTTCCACTGACTAAGTGGTGACACAGGAAGTTGATTCTCATATAACCAGCATATGTCAAGATATCTCCCAGCCCTCAAGGATCATTTTTATTTTAATATACAAATGGACTGGCAAAGTATCCATTCCACGGATGAGAGGAGCCCAGCCCCTCCCCAAGAGTTCCTTGCGTTCCTGGAGGCTGCTCCTCTGAGTCTGTCCTGCAGTCTGTTCCCCACTGTCACTTGGTGCCTGGCAGCTGCTCTTCGCTCTGCTTGCCCACGTGTCACCCCTGGCTTGGAAAACCACTGTACACATGTCATTTCTCCCCCAGCTCTGTTCATACAAGTTTTTGTTGTGCAATTTAATTGGAAATTTGATGGCAACAGAAGATTGCAACACAGCATTATACAGGCAGCAACTGGAGACAGAATGTTATACAGAACTTCTACAAATGCACTGGTCATTGTCCATTGTGGGGACTTTCTGCTCTGTTCTTCCTTTTTTCCCAGCTTTATTGGGATATAAGTGACTATAACACTGTGTAAGTTTAAGGTGCACAAGGTGTTGACTTGATACCACTTATATGTTTTAATATGATTACTGCCATAGGTTAGCTACCACCCCCATCCTGACACCCAATAACCATTGCTTTTTTATGGGGAGGACATTTCAGATCTACGCTCTTCTTGAGCTCTCTCTCTGCTGCTACCCTCTTCCCCGACTCTCCTCCTCACCAGCCGGCCAGCCTTCAGCCCCCAAATTCCTGTTACTTTTCTCGTGCACACCAATTCAGGTTGCTTTGCATCTTCACCGTCCCCCTTCTGACCATGCCTCACTCACAGAGATCCAGCAAGGCATTTTCCTAACCCCCACCTCAAAAGAAAAACCAAAACAAACTCTCGAAATTCTATCTCCCCTGTTATGAATTAAGTCTACTCTGCCGCCTTGTTATAAAAACAAGTACAGTAGTCAGTTATTGCTTTAAATGGCATTTCCTCCTCCTGCCGCATGTTTGACAATATGAGAAAGAGCATTGATTCTGTCTACCATTTCTAGAGTGCCTCGTAAGTACCTGTCTTATCTCCAATCCTCATAAATCCCCTGTGAAGTGGTAGATGGTATCACGCCTATCTTGCAGATGAGAACGCAGAATCTCGGAGAGGGTCGAGTGACTTGCCTGAGGTCTCCCAGCTGCTAGTCGGCAAAGTCTGACTGTGAACCAGCACCCGCCTGATCCCTAAGCAGATGTCTCTCTACAACGTGGTAGCTAACTGCCCCCACCAGCCCTGGGTGCCTTTCACTCATGCCTCATTCCTCTATCTCTATTCGTCTCAGGTTTCCACTGAAATGGATTGGTGGAAGAGAAATTTCTGGATCATCTTAGCTGTGACCATCATCATTGTCTCCACGGGCCTGAGCATCATCCTGTACTGTGTCTGTAGGTTGCTGCTTAGACAAGGTAATGGCCAGGGGGAGGGGAGAGGAGCAGTGGTTATCAGAATATAGGGCTCCTTTAGGGCAAGATTAGATCTGCGCCTGTAGAGGCTGAACGTTGAAGTAAGCATCATGCTTTCTGGGTTTGAGTCCCAGCCCTGCTCCTAACTTGTATCTCTGGGCCTCAGTTTCCCCATCTGCATAGTGAAGGGAGGGAAGTTAACTAATCCCCAAGGTTAACTAATCTTCCAGCCCCAAGGGCTTGGGTGAAAGCAGAATCTGTTTCAAGGCACACTATGCTCCAGTGTTTTCTTTCTCCAGAGTGGCTGCTGATTATAGCGTCTTATCTCTGAGAGTCAAAAGAGAGCACAAGTCCATGAAAAGTCAAAAACTGTCTTGATTCCAAACTCATCAAGTTGTATACTTGTTGTACATATTAAATGTGTACAGCTTTTTGTATGTCAATCATACCTCAATAAAGAGGTTTAAAAAAAACTGTCTTGAGGTATGAAAAATGGACTCAATCCATGATCGACATGTTTGGCCACCATGATCACCTACTCTAAGATAATACTCTGAATTTCTGGTATTATATCCACCTTGGCCACTGGTTCTTGACATCCTCAGACATAAATAAGCAGCTACCTGGAGGTTAACTTTAGACTATCTATGAGTAGGTTTTCCATCTTGCTATTCATCTCCAGAAACATGATATCCTTGATTCAACTCTGTGTTTTCTTGAGATCTTATCCCTTTACATGATGACCTGAGCCTGGAGTACACCTGGGGACGGTAAACACTCTGAAAGGCACAGCCACCTTCCCCTGGGGCACCCAGGCAGACATCCCTCCGAGATTAAGGCACTGTCCTCCAGTCGCATCTAGACACAGCCTCAGAATCCTGCTCAGCCCAGTGGTGAAAGACAGGACTGCCCAAGAAGTGAAATCTTCTTGTCATTCTTCTCGATCTCTTTTTAGATAACAAGAAAATTAAGATTCAGAGAGAGGTGAAGCCTTGGTTAAGGTCTCATAGGGGCTAGTGGCAGAGTTGGGACCAGAAAGTGGGCTCCCTGTTCAATGTTCTTTCCCCTCCACCCCTTGATGGTAATTAGTTTTTATTAATACAAAAAGTGTATTCTGGCCCCTATAGTCCTCTATCCATTTGCCGTCTTAGAAGGTTTCATTCTCAGATAGGGACAAATGTATGACCCTGAACCAAAACTTTACCTATTCTCTTTTATCTTAACCCACTCCTATTAAAAAGCAGGTTATGATTAATAATAACTTATACATCCAGCATGTAACATTTTACAAACTGCTTTTCCCATTCTTTATCTCATTTCCTCCCAGCCACACTTTTGGTTGTTTATTCAGCCAATATTTCTGAATGTCAACTACCCACCAGGCATGATAACAGGCAGTGAGGAAATAAACACAGCACGCATGGTCCTACCCTCGAAGGCTTAGCCCAAAGCTCTGTGGTCAGGTAGCCCAGGTTCAATTCTGGCTCCACCACTTATTGGTCTGTGTCCCTAAGTCTGTTTCCTCTTGATGATTCTCCTTCTACATGTCCTGACCCCTCCTGGTGTCTGAGGACTTCTAAACTCTAGAATCACAGCTTTTGCTAATTCTTCTTAAATGAATATGCTTATTTTTTTTCCTTAGGCAAGAAATTTGAAATTGCCAGGCCCGTGAAACAAGATGAAGAAAAGATGTATGAGTAAGTGGGGTGAAATCCTTCTGCTTTTTAATTTTGAGAACCGCCCATTCACTTCCACTCCTGCACCTACGCTGGTGTGTTAGTAAGAGTGAAACACCCACTCTTCCCATGGAGCAGGTGAAATGTCACATCTGCCAACTCTCCCCTCTTTAAGCGGAAAGGTCTCAGGGCTTTGGGGGTTCAGGGCCCCATCTGGCTCTCTCTGCTCTCCAGGTCCTCCTTGTCTCATCTGGTTTGATAGAGGTCACAGGTTGGGCGTTGTGTTCTGGGCCCACCACTCAGTGTTAGGGCTGCTTTTCCTTTCTTTATTTGGATTACAAGTCTAGTCTTCTAAAAGCAATTGGGTTGAACAAAAATAGGCCATTGGCTTTACTTTTGCATTTTGTGCTCTGTTTGGGGCTTTATGATTGCCATCTGTGTTGAGGTCCCCAAGACCACCTTTAGGCTTGACGATTCGCTAGAAGGACTCACAGGACCCAGAAAAGCTATTATATTCACAGTTATGGATTATTACAGCAAAAGGATACAGATTAAACTCAGAAAATGGAAAAGGCTTACAGGGTGGAGTCCAGGAGAAACCAGGTGCAAGCTTCCAGTTGTCCTCTCCTGGTGAAATCACACAGACCGCACTTAATTCTCCCAACATCAGCATGCGAAGCATTACCAAGCAGAGAAGGTCACCTGAGCCTTAGTGTCTAGGGTTTTTGTTGGCGGTCGGTCAGTCACATTAGCACAAAGTGCGCTCATCACCTACTTTAGCCTCTCAGTCTCCAGCCCCTCCAGAGGCCAAACGGCTACAGTATGACCTAGGACCCCAGGCAAACACAAGCAGGCATTCCCCCTCAATCAGCTTATTAGCATAAACTATCTGGCTGGCCCAAAGCCCCAGGTATACAAAGACATTCTTATCAGGCAGGATATTTTAAGAGCTTAGAGGTTACCTCCCAGGAGCTGGTCAAAGTCCAGTCCTTTCTTTGGAATGTACTCACTATCTGAAACAAAATCTGTTTTTCTAAAATGACTTTTGTTAGGGCTCAAAGGATCCAGCAAATAATAGACCTCTTCCCCACCAATTCTGATCTCCTTGAAGAGTAAGACAAATGTGTCATGCAGTTCGAGACCCAAAATATTGCCTTTATCGAGAATCAAACTGGCATTGCAGAAGGTGACTCTTCTCCATGAGCAAGTGAATTTCCTCATTCAAAGCCAAGCAAACTTTCCTGCACAGTGCACAGGCAGCCCTGGAGATCTCAGGTCTCCCCGGCAGGGCAGCCCCTTTCTCTGATGACAAAGACCCGAGCAGAATATATGCTTTTTGAAGTTAGGCTGGCTCTGCAGGAGAAAGTGGGAGGAGCTGGATCTTTCCCAAAGTCAGATAAATTTCCTCTTCTCATGGGAAGAGCCATGGTCAGGGAGGGGGGTAGAGAGAAGCGACCAATGGAGCTCTTGCCATGTGTCCCCTTCTCCACTCATGCCAACAACCTAAATATGCTTACACTCCCAGGGGGACTTAACCACATACAGGAGGCCAAAACTTGGCTCAGAAGAATCTAGTACCATTTTGGAAATCAGAGTACATGAAGGGAAATGGGGGTCTAGGTAAAGAGGCTTTTTGTTAAAACTTCTTAGCAAAGTATAATATGAATACAGAAAAGTGCACACAGCAAGAGTTTATTGCCATTGTCATTGAGTGGATTCAAACTCTAGCGACGCTGTGTACAGCAGAGCAGAACCCTGCCCAGTCTTTCTGTGCTGTCCTCTCACCTTCTAAAGCTCTGTTAGATAGCGCTCCACTGCTATTCACAGGGTTTTCATGGCCAATTTTCAGAAGTAGATGGCCAGGTCCTTCTTCCTAGTCTCTCTTAGTCTGGAAGCACTGAAACCTGTCCATCATGGGTGACCCTGCTGGTATTTGAAACACTGGTGGCATAGCTTTCAGCATCACAGCAACATGTAGCCACCACAGTGTGACAGCCCACAGATGGGTGGTGTGGTTCCCTGACCAAGAAATGAACCCAGGCTGTGTTGGTGAGAGCACCAAATCTTCATCACTAGACCACCAGGGCTGGCTATGGTAAGAGTACAACTCAATGAGTTTTTGCAAACTACACGGGCCCAGGTAGCTGGCACCCAGATCAAGAAACAAAATTACTGGCACCTCAACACCTTCTATTCCCTTTCAGCTATTACACCCCAAAGATAACCACTATCTGGAATAGTATAGGTTAGTTTTTTCTTGTGTTTGTGCTTTATATAAATGAGATTTGACAGTATGTCTTATTTGATGTTTGGCTTCTTTTGCTCGCCATTTTTTGTGAGAGTCCTCATGTGTGGTTGTAGACTGTTCATTCTCATTGCTATAGAGCCTTCCACTCTGGGAGCATACCAGGATGAATTCATCCATTCTGCTGCTGATGGACATTTGGGCAGTGTCCAGTCTGGGGTTGTTATGAATAAATCTACTATGAACATTCTGGTACATGTCTCTTGGTGAACATATGCAAGCAGGTGTTCAGTAGGGTATATATCCAGTGGTGGAACTGCTGTCACATGGTGTGTGTACATATAGCTTTAGGAGTATATCTGTTTACAAATCAAAATACACCTGGCGCTTACCTCCCCCTCATCATCCAGCTCGAGTGAACAAAGGAAGATGTGCTCCATGCTCTAAGGGCCAGAGCTGCTTCTTCTCAAATCCAGCGGGTCCCTGGGCTGGAGGAAATGGTTTCTTTCGAGTGCCAGTTACAAATGGGATGCCAGACCTAGAAACGGAAGGAAATGCTGCCAATTTTTAGGGACCAAGATTTGAATGTTCAACCCTGTCCATTTGCTTTGATGTTTTCCTTTACCTCTGCTGACGGCAGGCATAGTCAAATCCAAACCCTGACTCCTCCCCTTTTTCTCTCCCCAGGAATGTTACTAATCAGTCGTCAGTTCAATTACCCCCCCTGCCACCCCGGGGTTTGCTGTCTTCAGAACGTGCCTGTGAGTATATTTTGCTGATGACAGTTTCATTCGGGATAGGATAACACATTTATCCAAAGGTCTTAGTCAGCTCAGGCTGCCCACAACAAAATACCATAGACAGGGTGTCTTAAACAACAGAAATTTATTTTCTCATGGATCTGGAGGCTAGAAGTCCAAGATCAAGATGCCAGCCGATTTGGCTTCTAGTGAGGGCTCTCTTCCTGGCATTTAGTGGGCTGCCTTCTTGCTGTGTCCTCACGTGGCCTTTCCTCAGTGTGTGCATGGGGATGGGGGGGGGGGGGTGAGGGGTAGAGAAGAGAGAGAGAGAGCTCTCTGATGTCTCTTCTTACAAGGACACTAGTCCTATGGGATCAGGACCCCACTCTTTTTTTTTTTTTTTTGAGGAAGATTAGCCCTGAGCTAACTACTGCCAATCCTCCTCTTTTTGCTGAGGAAGACTGGCCCTGAGCTAACACCTGTCCCCATCTTCCTCTATTTTATATGTGGGACGCCTACCACAGCATGGCTTTTGCCAAGCGGTGCCATGTCCGCGCCCGGGATCCAAACCGGCGAACCCCGGGCCTCTGGGAAGCGGAACGTGTGAACTTAACCGCTGCACCACCGGGCCGGCCCCAGGACCCAACTCTTATTTGACCTTAATCACCTCCTTAGAGGCCCCATCTCCAAATATGGCCACACTCGTTGGAGGAAGGAAGGGAGTGTCAATGTATGAATTTTGTGGGGACACAAACATTCAGTCCATAACACTAGGATTTGCAGATGGCAGCATCCTCTTTAAAAAAGATGATTAAATTAAAAGGGGGCAGAAGAAGTGCCAATGCTCCTGATACTCGATGTGTAAATCCATACTGAAATCCCAGCTTGGAGCATGAATAAAAGGAACGTAGGCGTGTCCCTGGGCCTCTCACACTTCCTATCAGAAAAACTGCCTGGTTCCCTTGACTGGAACGTCCTTTAAGCTCTTCACAAAGCTGGCTTTACTTCATCCTTCAGGTGGCAGCTCAGATGTCACCATCTCAAAGAGGCCATGCCTGACCACCCTATCTAAAGTAATCCTGCTAATTTTCCATGACACTTATGGGAATTATCCAAAATTGTGTCATTTAGTTATCATCCGTTCATTCATTTTGTCTCTCCTCCACTAGAAATGTAAACTCCAGGAAATAGGAACCTTTCTCATCTTGTTCACCCCTGTTTACCCACCGCTAAGAACAGTGCCTGGGGCGTAGTAGATAATTAATAGGAATGTTTTGATTGAGCGGATAAATAATAATAATAGCTGACATTCAATGAGCACGCACTGTGTGTCAGGCCCCACACTGGGCTTTTTACAGGCGTTGTCTCCTTTAATCCTCGCAACAACTCTACAAGGCAGGTACGTTATTATTCCCCTTTGACAGTTGAGGACACTGAGACACAGAGGACTTAAGTGACTCGCCCACGGCCACACAGCTCGTGACTGCTGGAGCCGGAATATGAACTTGGGTCCGTCTAACTGCAGAGTTCTGCAGGAAATGAAACGGTGGTGGTTTTTCAGGTTCTCTTAGGAAAAGATGAGATTGCGGTGGAGGCAGTGCCGATCCCCAGCAAAGGTGGAGTGAGCTGTTTCATCAGCCCTCGTCTGGCCACGTCAGTCCTCTTGCAATGTACGCGTTCTCTACTAATTCCGCCTTTAGAAACACAGCTGTCCCCTTCCTTTTTAGCAGAGAGATTCGTGCATGAGCAGTTACGGATAGTTCTGGAGAACAGTGTAAGTCATTGGGAGGCATGTGCCAAAAAGGAAATACGGTTTTGTATCACTTCCTTAGGAGAGTTAGGATCTGTAAACACAACACTACTCATCTGGCAACTGGCTCTGGTCAGTTTCTTATCTCAGCTTTTGTTTCATGGTTCCCCCTCCAGTACAGTCTTAGGCAGAGGGACACGGAGTCAAGATGTACGACCAATATTCGCCATTTACTCACTTGGGTGATCCTGAGACTGTGTCAAAATGGAGATCTGGTCCACCAAGAAGTGGGAAGATCACCAAAACCCGTGAAAATCACACTGAGCCACTTGGTCAAAATTATGTAGACACAGTAGCTTTGCATCTAAGGACCTATTTGTGTTTTCTAGCCCCACAGGAAACCCCAAGTCCGCCACCAGCTACATACACCCTGGTAAATAAACTTAGAAATAAGAAGGTAAATTCCGTCCCAAGCTATGTTGAGCCTGAAGAAGACTATGACGATGTTGCTATCCCTGAAAACATGGAAAAGCATCACTTAGAAACCTCCATGTCTCCTTTTTGGCCAGCTGAAGAAGGTTCACACAACTTATTTTAAAACAATCAAGAGTGGTTGAAGTTTAGTAGATACCCAGTCCCGAAAGCCAGCGGCAATGTTACGAAGCTTTGTAAGATAAGCACTTCCTGAACCTTAGACACAGGCGCGTCAGCGATCAGATGACCGCAGGCAGAGGAAAGAAGCAGATGCTCAGCCTTGAAGACCCAGAGGAGCCAGACCTTGAGCTTCTGTTGAGCGAGTCCCACGGGGAGGACTTCGGTTCCCTGCTCCTACCCGTGAGAAACCACTCAGTTCTCAGCACTCTTCCTTGTTTCCTTCCCTTGTTTGTGTGGTTCTAAGTGATCTTAAATCTTGCGGTTCGATTGTACACAACCTCTCGGGTTCCCATCCCCAGCACGGCCCTCACTGAGCAAACGGTCTTGTACCCACCCGCCCCACCCACTTCTCACATTGAGGGGCTGTGGGTGGTAGTTACAGCTGAGCGCTCTTGTGCGCAAGTAACTGCGTCAAGCCTTCTGGGTTCTTCAAGGGAGGGAGTGCTTTTTGTTCACGTGAACTCTCCCCACCTGCACACGCCCACACCCCGGTGCCTCTCTGTGACCTTGGCCAGACTGACCGTGGAAACTCAAGCTCTCACAGGAGGTTTTTCTCCTGTGCTCCCCCGTTGCCCCATAACAGTCAACAAAGGACAGAAGTTACACAAGGAGGTGTCGTTTTGCCATATGTGCATTGCGGGAGCTATAGGAAAAGTGGGTTTCCCCAGGAAAAATCATGGGGAACAAGAAAGAAAGGGAGATTAAACGGCAAACTCAAGATGAGAGTTCAGGGGGCTCACTGGCCTCCCCCATCATTTCCATTACTGCCTCCTCCCTAGGATAAAGTGCTATGAGAACAGCGCCAAGCCCCTTCCTTCCAGATCACTGTTCCTGAGCCACTGGAAGCAGAAACTCCAGTGCGATGTGCCGCAGTCAATGAGATGCTGGGGAAGTGGGCTGCTGTCCGGTAAACGAGTGCTCTCGCTGCCAAGGCCCAGGTCAACTTCGTAGGCTCCTCAGCTTCATCATTTCCTTCGAGCTCATTTCCTAGAGCCCTAGGACTGGACACTTTCTAACCAGACTCACAAGAGGCTGATTCCTAAGCAATCCCTGGGAAATCCAGAAAAGAGCAGGCTTGCAGGGAGAGCACGATGAACCGTGAAAAGGCCCAGGCGTGGCCCTTGGACTGAGCTGCTCCTCGAGAATTGGAAACTGTGTTCCCACCACAGTGAGGCTTCCTCCCTCAACCACTGCTGGACCAGTGGGGACACGTGCTTCCTCCCGGCTTCTCTCTTTCTAGACGCTGTGGAGACCTCCAGCTGCATGGTCGTACTTCCTTATTTCAGGCCAGTGGTTCACTAACTGGTCTTATGGAACTCTGATATTCCACCAGCCAGAGAGAGGACTCTTTTCCCAAATTATAGAAAAAAAAAGATAAAGGATAGAAGAATTTCGCATGTATACTCTCCTCTTAGAAATTTTCTGTAAGCCATCTGCATCGATGACAAAAGTTAAAAACAAATTCCAGGTAAATGTTAACTCCTCCTTGGTGTCTGGGACCCCACCGTCTCCTCATTCTCCTCCTGCCCGTCTGGCCTGTCTCAGTCTTGTTTGGGAGCCCCCTTTCTCTCTGAACATCTCGTCAATGCTGGTCTTCCTCAGGGTTCTGTCCCAGTCCCTGCCCTCATCTCACTCTAAACCCTCAGGAGGGATCTCACCGATGGGCTCAGGGCCCCCTCTACTCTGATGACTTCCAAATCGCAGACCCCAGCTAGGCTCTCTCTCCTCAGTTGCAGACCTGGCTGCCTCCAGGACATCCCCATATGCTTCTCCCGGAGGCTCCTCGAGTTCAATATACACTGAAAAGAGCTGATCACCTACCCCCAATTCCAGGCTTCTTGTGCTCTGCTATCTTCTTAATTGCTGAAGTCAGAGGCCAGCGCACCGTCCGGAGTCCCTCCTTCCAGTGTTCCCGCCTCCTGCTGACTGTGCCGCTTGAGGAGGTTTCCAGTCAGTCCCCACGTCTCCATCGCCCTTCCCAGGCCAGGCCATTGCCAGCACTTGCCAAGAGGACAGCCTCCCGCTGGCCTCCTGCCCTGGCGTCTCGCCCTCCAAACCCCTTGCTACATGGCAGCCGGCGATCTTCTAAAGTGAACATCTGACCACTTCATTCCCTTGCTAACTCTCTTCTTTCCCCATTATCCTCAGAAAAAGCCCAGCTCCTTCATGTGGGTTACAGATTTGTCAGGATCTCGTCCCCGGTTATCTCTTGCCGACCTTCTCCTCCTCACCCCCTGGCAACTTCCACTCCACCCAAATTTTTGCTCCGGCCATTTGAAATGACCTCATCTGTGGTTCTCCTGGCCCTGTGGCTAGGCACAGTACTCTCCCCTCTGTCTGGAACATTCTTCCTCACCTTCTGATCATCTGCTTAGATCCTTTCCTCAACCCCCCAAATTTGGGTCTGGCGCTCACTTAGGTGCTCTCCTCTCATGGCATTAGCACGCTGTAACTACCCATTTACCTGTCTTTCTCCCCCCCTAGACTGAGAAAAACGTGAGGGCAAGAACTGTGTTTCTTTTTCCCCCGTTGTTTTCTCTGTTCCCAGCACAGTGCCCAGACACTTTGGAGATGCTTAACAAATATGTTGAATGAATGAATGAATGAATGAATGAAGTCCTCTGGGATCTCACCCTTCCCTGTACTTGGCCCTGTGGAAACGCTTCTCCGTCTGCGCTATAATTGTCTGGCTACTTTTCCATCCTCCTTTCTAATCTGGGGACTCCTTGGGGTGGAACTTGCCTAGCTCACTGCTATATTCCCAATGTCCAGCACAGACCCTGGCATTTAATACATACTTACTGGATCTTGAACATTAACGGGAAACCTACCAGTCAGTTTGACAAAAACAAACAGACAAGCCCTTTCTGTCTGGGCGTGTGTAATTTGGTTGAGATTTTGTACGGGACACCTGTAATAAAGCCATGTTTTTACCAGTTTGGTTAAAAAAAATTGCTACCAGTTTGGAAGATAGAATTAAATATGTTAAGATTTCTCAGGATTTTTTTTGTGTATTCTAGCCCTACGGGAAACCCTAAGTCAGCTACCAGCTACATATTCATAAAGTCAGAAATAAGAAGATAGTTTCCATCCCGAGCCATATGGAGCCTGAAGATGACTATGTTGGTGTTGACATCCCTACGCATATCGAAAACCATCATTTTAAAACAACTCCTGTTCTGATACCTTAACTATTTTGAGAACTGATGGTTTACTCATATCACAAATTGGTGGATTATAGTTTTCTCTAAAATAGTTAAAGTTCTGATCTTCTTTGTGGTATAAATAAGATTGTTTTCAGGAAATGCTCCAGCATTACCAGCAACAAATTTTACAAATCATGTGTATTAGTTAGTATGCTTTGGGCTGCAAGGAACAGGCTTTCCAACTAAAGATAACTTAAACAGTGAGGAATTTATGACCCTGCAAATCAGGAAGCCTAGAGGTAATCACTCCAGAATTCAGCAACTCTGAGACTCAGGAGTATGGACTGACTTTTCTTTGATTCTCTTAGCTTTACCCTCATGGTGGCAAGGCGGCTGCCATAGCTTCAAGCATCACATCCTCACATGATAACAAACAAAGTTAGGAAGGAAAGGGGCATTTCCTCCCATGTAGCTCTTTTTATTAGGGAGGAAATTCTTTCCCAGAAGCCCCCAGCAACTCTCTCTAATGTCTCATTGGCCTGGATTGGTTCACATGCCCACCTATAGGAAAGGCTGGGGAGTGTACATGGGGCATTTTCAGCCTTTCTGGCTGGAGGTTGGCTTTGCCCTCAAGGAAAAAAGAGGGAATAGCTGCTGGATAGGCAGCCTGCCATCTCCCTGGGTCAGTTCACTTTAGCAAATAACACTGTTCTTTATTTACTATTTTTTCCATTACAATCTCAGATGTGTTGGGGAGTTCAGGGTGAGGTGTGGTGTCCAGATTCTACCATTCACCCTTCTTCTTCTACAGGGTTTTGACCAATAATAACGCAGAAGGGACTGCCCGTCAGATGAGGTTAATAACAGAACGGCAATAGCAACAGCATCAGGAGCCGCCAGTGACTGAGCTCCAGGGGCTTCACGGTGCAGTGTCCCCATGACCTGGCACAGGCGGGGCTGCTGGGTGTCCTCAGAGAGCTTTCTCCTCCCTCCACCTCCTCCCCGCCGCTGCTCCTTGAAGCCCACTCTGACGGGCTGGTTCTTCCCCACCCCCTTGGATAAAATCTCAGGCCAGGGCCCTTGGCTTTCCTGTCACTCTGAGGTCACCAGAAGCCCTCCAGGTGTGGGTTACACAGGTGTATGCATTTGTTAAAATTCAGCGAATACACACAAGATTTCTGCATTTCAACCTAAGTAAATTTTACCCCGAAAGAAGAAACTGTGAACAAATATCGAGCTCCAGTTAGCGACAGGCACACTCAAGTACTTAGGGGGAAGTGCACGACGTCTGCAACTCACCTTGAAGTCACCCAAGGACAGGGTGGCTGTAGAGCCTGTGCGTTAGGCGTGAGGGAAACACGGAGCCTCCTGTGACCACCCTCAGCTCTTGTTATCACCTCCACGCTTCTCCCGGAGAGAAAATGGAGGAGCAGCTGTGCATGGGTCGGAGAGAGGCGCTGGAGTCTGTCCTCCTTTTGGAGGCAAGATGACTCCATCTACATTCTCAGCTAACGCTTTGGACTCAATTCAGTCAGTTAGTCCCTCCAGTCTCCTCCTTGTAGGAAGAGAAAGGGACTCTCCTCCTCCATGGAAACTGAGAGAAAGAGGATAAGGCTCCCTCCTGACTAAGGATGACCTTTCCCTGACCTTGCTCCGCGGCCCTCTCCAGAGCTGCCAAGGGGCAGCAGGCAGAGCAGTGTCCTGGGGGTCAGCCCAGCTCTGCCTGCAGGGCGGAAGCCTGTGCTTCGCCCCCCCAATATGTATTCCACTCTTCCCAGCAAAAGCCTCCGATTTTCCGGTTGGATCCACTTCTTCCTCTTCTCTAAGTCGGTGCGGTTTGCATGGACCCTCATCCCCAACTCAGGGCCAGAGCACGTGACCCTGCCTGGGTGATCAGAGACCTCCAGTCCCTTAGCCATGGTGACTGACGGCCTGATGCTCTGAGTACCAGGGCAGGTGTTCCTTCCCACTCGATTTGAAGCTGAGGGGATCTGAGTTCTCAAGGTGGCATCTGCCATAGAGGACACTGAGCTGAGACAAGAAGAGAACCCAGATCCTAGCGCCACTGTTTGAGCTCCTGTATGCAGCCATGCTTGATGCAGGCATGACCTCTGAATTTTTTCGTTACATGAACCAATGTTCTTTAAATGCTTTCAACTCTGCCCCTTCAGGCCCATCCCCACCATTGCTGCCTAATCTTGGTCTCGTCCTCTTTCATCCGGCTGAATGCAGAAGCCTCTCGCCTGTTCTCTCCTCCTCCAATCCATCTCCCGCTTGCTGTCAGAATGAACTATCTGAAACACAAATCTGATTAGGTCACAGCCCCGCTTAAAATCCTTCAACGGCTCCCTGTGCTCATGAGGATAAAATCCACACTCCTTTGTGCACCAGCCAAGGCCCTCATAACCTGGTCCCCGCGGGCCTTGTTTCAGCTCCTCCTCTCCTCCCACCATGCACCCTGATGGTGGGAAACCACTTGCAGCTCCCCAAAACATCAAAATGGTGCCAAGTCTTTGTTTATTCTCTTCCCTCTGCTGAGAACACCCTTCCCCTCCTTCTCTACCTGATAAACTGCAACTCGCCCCTACAGCCCCGGCTGGAGCACGGCTTTCTCTGAAAGAGCTTTCCTCACGGGCCCAGGCACACCCTTCCTCAGCATTTCTCAGGCACTTACTGATACGGATCAGGGCCGCCCCCAGGGAGAGAAGAGCAAGGCATCCTGGCCTACATGCCGATCTATGTGACCCTACTCATATCTAAAGTTATGCGACCACACAATAACCAGAGCCCACCTGCACTGATACCATTTTAATGACTTTTTACATCATCTTTCGTTTGTCTGGTAAAAATAAGTCATGTACCCATGCCTTATAAATTTAGCCCTAACCCTCAACACATTGCAGCCCTTCAGTGCCCTTGGGCCCTGTCCCCATGCTATTCCCTGAATAAAAGAGCACTACTACCAGACCTTGAGAGTCCAAGAAATCTTTCTTTCAATTCCTTGGCTCACCAAGCCCGCATGGCTTACCACAGCACGTAATGGTCCCCATCTTGTGGTTACACATCTCTCCTTCCCATTAGATGATGGGCTCCTTGAGGGGTAGGATTATGTCTACACAATCCTACAAACTACATTCGGGTTTGCTCAGGACTGTTGTGTCATTTGTTTGATGTCTTCGTATAATTATTATTAGCACCCATTTTCAAAGATGTCCTGGTTTGGATGATAAGTTACATGTTCACCCTACTTATTCATGATTAGGTCAGTGTCAGCACAGAGTGAGTGTTAAAAAATATTTCCCAAACAAATGCATGAAAGAGTAAGTGATCCTTCCTAGGTCTCATTTTCTACCATCAAGTAAATAGCTGAATTAGACCGTTTTAAGTTCTTTACTGCTTAAAGTGATTCAAGTAAAGTCAGTAAGACAAAAGGCTAAGACCAGCAGTTTCGATTTCTCTTCCCTTTGAAAAGGACCCTGCGTACAGATTTCCACATTCAAACATATTTCTGCCTAGATCAACAACTTCGGGGATCTCTGCCTGCTGGGAGTCTGGCTATTGACACAGTAGGTACAGCAGATCTCCTCGACTGAAGACCTGGTTCCCTCCGTCAGCCCCACTGTGGCTCTAACAACAGATAAAAAACAATTTCCACTTGTTCTGTGATGCATGTTGCGTCAATAGTATCATTACTATCCAGACACAGCTCCTGAATGGTAGCGTGCTTCAGTATCTAACCTACTCCATCTGCTTTCCCCAGGGGCACATGTGCAGGCTCTGCCAGGGCCAAGCAGCAGGATGAAATCTCACCTAGATTAACACTTGGTCGCCCAAAGCCGTCCGCCATAAATAGACAGGTAACAATGGACTGTGGTCACATTTCATTTTACTAGCGCAGAGTGTGCAAATCACCACGTGCAAAACCATTGTAAGAAACAGCCGGTTAATATCGTTGCATCTTGGCCCTTCAACTGTAAAACTCAGCTTTTTATATTTACCCACAACTTGCTGCCAAAATTTAGTGCAGCTAAAGTTTTAGATCAGCTACACTTGAACAATTTTAATATTCTGCAATCAGAAAACAACACCAAATTGCTTAAAATAAACTTGGTCCCTTATAAAATGACCTATAAACTATCAGCCTTTGAATTGTTTTCTTTTAACATTAGCTGCCTCGGCATTTTTTTACAACTTGGATGTCAATCAAACGTGGCTTAGGTTTTAACAAAAATTGCAGAAGGTAGTATTTAAGAAAAATGAAATTCCCCTGATGGCAAAAAAAATAGCTTATTTGCATAACTTGTATACCTCTATCTCCCAGGAGGCACAAACCAAAATAAATTTTCCGATACATTTAATATTGACGCTCTACAATGCTATTTTTAGTCACCAAGAAAAACTTCCTCTGAGTACACTAAAAATAAATATTGCCCTGCATTTCTCACTGCTGTTTAGAAAAGATATTCAATCACTATTTCATAGATCAAATCTCTGTTGTATTACTCGCCTAGTTGAATAATAATTCCAAAATTCTTTACACTTTGAGATTTGCCTGAAAAAAAACCTATATATGGATTTTTTTTTTAAAGGTCAGCTTTAGTCACTTTGGGGAGCAATTTGGCAAATTTCTCTTTTTTTTTTTTGAGGAAGATTAGCCCTGAGCTAACCTCTGCTGCCAATCCTCCTCTTTTTGCTGAGGAAGACTGGCCCTGAGCTAACATCCGTGCCCACCTTCCTCTACTTTATATGTGGGATGCGCCTTAGTATGGCTTGCGAAGCAGTGCTATGTCCGCACCAGGGATCCGAACCAGCAAACCCCAGGCTGCCGGAGTGGAACGTGCACACTTAACCGCTGCACCACCGGGCCAGCCCCAGCAAATTCTATTAAAATTGAAAACGTAGGGGCCAGTGCAGTGGCGTGGTGGTTGAATTCATGCACTCCGCTTCGGTGGCCCAGGGTTTGTGGGTTTGGATCCTAGGTGCAGACCTACACACCGTGCATTAAACTATGCTGTGGTGGCGTCCCACATACAAAATAGAGGAAGATTGGCATGGATGTTAGCTCAGGGCCAATCTTCCTCAAAAAAAAAAGAAAGAAAGAAAATGTGGACACCCTGCATGACCCAGCAACTCCACTTCAGGGATATATACCCTAGAAAGGAGCTTCCAAACTTTTTTGGTACCAGATCTCCATTCCACTCTTAAAAATGACCAAAGACACCAAAGAGATTTTTCATACGCAGAAGATATCTATTGATATTTACGTTAGTGGAAATTAAAACTGAGAAAGATTTAAAAGATTTATTAATTCATTTAAAATAGCAATAGGGGCCGGCCCAGTGGCACAGCAGTTAAGTTTGCACGTTCTGCTTCGGCGGCCCAGGGGTCCCAGTTCAGATCTCAGGTGAAAACATGCCACTGCTTGTCAAACCATGCTGTGGTAGGCATCCCACATATAAAGTGGAGGAAGATGGGCACGGATGTGAGCTCAGAGCCAGTCTTCCTCAGCAAAAAGAGGAGGATTGGCAGCAGAGGTTAACTCAGGGCTAATCTTCCAAATAAATAAATACATAAATAAATAAAATAGCAATAAACCCAGTCATGTTAACATAAATAACATTTTTATTAAAATAATTCTATTTTCCCAAACAAAAAAAAATTAGCGAGATGAGCAACATTGTGTTACATTTTTGTGCATCTCTTTAAGGTTTGGCTTAATAGAAAGCATCCGGATTCTCATATCTACTTCTGCAGTCAATCTGTTGCAACATCATTATCATGCAGCCTCTGGAAAGCTCCACTGTACATTCATGAGAGAGTAAGCATGAACAAGGGCAAGTAATATCTTAGTATTATTATGAAAATAGTTTTGATCTCATGGCCCAGACCACACTGTGAGAACCAGCGCCCTAGAGAAACTGAAGCTCATGTATAACCATGTTCTTCGTAACGGTATCGTTATAATGAGAAAGTGCAACCTACACATCTGTCCATCTATAGGGGGCTGCACCAATGCTGTTTTTCTCACCACTGTATTTCCATCGACTGAGAAGGTGTTGGTCAGTGAAACGTGTGGGCGGAGGGAAGGAAGTGAGAGGGCCATTGAGGGAGAAAGGGAGGAAGTATACATATTGTTCTGCAACTTGCTTTAAAATTTAACCCTATTCTGGGGCCATCTTTTCACAGACATAGACTGTTAGTTCACAGGGTAGGAGTGGCCAAAAGCCATGTGATTGTTCTATAACTAGTAAGCGTATTCTTCTGTTGTCCAAAAATAAAGGTGTATTTAAGACGTTTTGATCTGCTAATCACCATGGGCTACAAACCACTGCCACCTACCGTTGTTTTAGGAAGCCCACACACTATGCGCAAAATGGCCTTTGCTGTTAAGAAAAAATAACTGAATAGCTTGCCCATATTTTCTTTGGGGGTATTCTGTAATTCAGACAGAAAATTGAGCCATTTACTTAAAGGCCTTTCTAGAAATGAGATAATCAACGTAGACCTCTTTGTTACCCTTGTAATTTGCATGTATACCGGAGGATTTTCTTAAGATATTTAGGTAAATTTGTTAATATTTCTCAGACCAAACAACAAAACCAATGGTTAAAACAAGTTAATAGAGGGGTTGGCCCCGTGGCCGAGTGGTTACGTTCGCGTGCTCCGCTGCAGGCGGCCCAGTGTTTCGTTGGTTCGAATCCTGGGCGCGGACATGGCACTGCTCATCAGACCACGCTGAGGCAGCGTCCCACATGCCACAACTAGAAGGACCCACAACGAAGAATATACAACTGTGTACCCGGGGGCTTTGAGGAGAAAAAGGAAAAAAAATAAAATCTTAAAAAAAAAAAACAAGTTAATAAATTATTTTCTTTGTTTAAAGGTCTTTTTATTTCCTCTTTTCTTGATTTTCTTGGTCTCTGATTTACACGGTGAGACAGTTTTAAAACTGCATGCAGAAAAAAATAGCAGTGCATAGTAATGCTCAATAAATGCTTGCTGCTGAGAAGGAAACACAAACATTCACGGCGGGTTTTGTTTTTTTTAAAGATTTTATTTTTCCTTCCTCTCCCCAAAGCACCCCAGTGCGTAGTTGTATATTTTAGTTGTAGGTCCTTCTAGTTGTGGCATGTGGGACACCGCTTCAGCATGGCCTGACGAGCAGTGCTAGGTCCACACCCAGGATCTGAACTGGCGAAACCCCAGGCTGCCGAAGCACAGTGCATGAACTTAACCACTCGGCCACAGGGCCGGCCCCTTGGTGGGTTTTTTGTGGGGGTTTTTTTGGTGAGGAAGATTGGCCCTAAGCTAACATCTGTTGCCAGTCCTCCTCTTTTTGCTCAAGAAAGATAGTCCCTGAGCTAACATCTGTGTCCATCTTCCTCTATTTCGTATGTGGGATGCTGCCACAGCATGGCTTGATGAGTCGTGTGTAAGTCTGTGCCCGGGATCCAAACCCATGAACCTGGGCCATCAAAGTAGAGCACAAGAACTTAACCACTATGCCACCAGGCCAGCTCCATCAGGGCCTTTTTTTAAAATACCTGGTTTTGTTCATTTTTGTATTTTCAACGTCTAGCACACGAGAGCCCAAAAAATATTGGGGTGGGAAGGAGAGAAGATGGAGGAGAGGAAGGAAGGCTGATGATGCTCAAAAAAGAGATAGAAGGCTATGATGTTCAGAGTCCCTTCCATCTCTGTGATTCTAGAACATTAATAACTATGACAAAGAAGCCATGGTAAATTATGAAGATTTCAAAGGCAACCTAAAATCATTGCACTGACAATGAAGGGGTTCAAGTCTTCTTACCCTTTATCACCAATGAAACAGCCCTGCTCTAAAGATTTATTACTGGGGATCCTCATTTTTCAAATATTCATTATCTAAATCTTCATAGTTATAAGCCTGGGTAGGGAAAATTCATCAAAACGTGAAAATATTCACCCATCGACTTCCAATTAGTCCCCTTGCAAAAATCCCTCCCCAGTTAATATTCACGTCTATCCCCACTGATCTCGTTAACACCTTGTCCCTCAGGTGATGTAAACATTGTATAATAAAATAAAAATATGGTACAATGAAAATTCATTACAAAGTAAAATTGCAAATCTTCCATCAAAGAAGAAGGATTTCACAAAGTTCATAAAAGTGATGGGGGAAATTGCTTGAATCGCAACCAAAGCCATTGACAAATGAGAACATGGCAGAGAAAACTGATACAAAGATGATTACATGATAATGATAGATGCTTCCTGTTCTAGCTATCTATTGCAGCATAACAAATCCCCCCAAAATTTACTGGCTTAAAATAATAACAATCATTTAATTCTCTCTCACCATTTCTTTGGTCAGGAATTTGCAAGGGGCTGGGCTGGGCAGTTCTGGGTTGCGGTCTCACGCAGTTGTAGTAGGATTGCAGCTCTGCCTCCTCACACTCAGGTGCCCTGCCCTGTTTAACCCCTAATAGGTCTCCACTGCTCTTGGGATAAAGCCAAAAAGCATACATATGGCTTTCCAGACGCTCTGTGGTGTGGCACAATCTTTCCAAGCTCATCTCATGCCACTCTGCACTCCTTGTGCCCGACCATCCACACTGGCCTTCAGTTTCCGCGATGCGTTGCCAGCTGCCACAGGGCCTTGCACGTGTAGTTCCTGCTACTTTAATGCTCTCCCCCTACAGCCTCCCATAGTAGACATCTGCTACGTTGCCTGGCCAAAGAGCTGTCTTATTTTTCTGCTATAAACAAAAACAAAAACGTGTCTTTTCTCTCCATCACCTGATGGGTCTTGTAGTAACGTGGCTCCCTTTCCCTATCCAACATGTAATTCAAGCTGGCCAATCAGAATACTTCAACCACTGTATACAGCTTTGGACATGTGATCCAAGCAGACCCCATCAGAGTCCCTTCTCTGTAATTGCTATAGAGGCTCTCCTTCCGTAATCCCGGGCACTGAAACATATCTACTGGTGGGAAAAAAAAAATCTATTGAGTCAACACAGAGAAAGAGGCAAAATTAAGATACAGAGAGAGAGAAAGGAGTCCCGATGACAATGCTTAAGTCCCTGAATTCTGGCCAGTCTACCCCCTGGACTTTCCTGTTACATGAACCAAGTTATGCTCAAGTTAGGGTTGTTCATCATCCTTCATCTGCCTAACTCTCCGCAGAAAGCCTTTATTGACCTTTCTGTGAAAGTCAGATCTTCTTTTATAAGCTCTTAGGGCACTATGTACTCTGCAGCATAGCACTCACCCGTTAGCACATTACATTTATGCTTGGAATTGTTTAAGTATCTCCTCCACGTGACTTTAAGTTCCACGAGAGGGCCTTTGGGTTTTGCTTAACGTTCATTGTATCACCAGCGCCTGGCAGAGAGCGGGCACTCCATAAATGTGTGTAGAACAAATGAATTACATAGTGAATCCACACAAGGGCAGCATGTTAAGCCCAGAAGAGATCAGAAAGAAGAGTTCTTTGTTCTTTGAAAAAAAAAGGCTAAAAAGCCAAAATAAGCCACACTTGTTACCAAACCCAAACACTGGTTCTTTCACCCACCGCACAGTAAGGCCAAGAACTGACACGTCAGACTTACAAAAAGGAAAGAGGTTTACTATTGTCAAAAGGCAGCCAGACAGGAGAGGGGACTTAGAACTCACTTCCACCTCCCAGAAGGGAAAAAGTGGGGGTTTTTATCTGGGGTTTCAGGTAGGCGACGGGGAGCATGTGGCCTTGCTGGTTGGCGCCTTCCCACCAGCTCGCGTTTGGCCTTGAAGACTGAATTTCTTTTCCCTTGACTGTCTGGACTTTTCTGGTTAGTTTTCACGTGCAGCCTGCGTTTGGCCTTGTGAGGCTGAATCTTGATGCCCGGACCTCGACTTCCTGGAAACGACAGCTCACTCCTATGCTAAGGAGGGAGTGACAGACCTGGTCAGTTTTAAACAACAGTTGATTATGCTGAATATGCACAGCTGCAGTTAGCAAAGCTTATCTTGAAGTTTTTGTTCTCTTCCTCCAGCCCAGGGAAGACTTCTTAATTTCTTTGCGCTCAGTTTCACTCTTACCATGACTTTATATTTCTCAACAAAAATGTAGCTACTGTCCTTCCCTGGACCTTGATTTTCATTTTTCTGGCTTAAGCAGTTCCTGGTTCTTAAAACAAAATCAAAACCAAAAACCAAAACAAAACACCTTTATTTTGTTATGTTAAAAGGAATATAAGAAATAAAATTCATGACTACAACTTTTCAGAAGAAAAGAAGAGTAAATGGAGAGAGGACTAGCTCTACCAGATTTTAAAACATATTTAAAAGTTCACACTAGTAATTACAACCCTTTATTATCAAAGAAGAGACAAATAAATGGACAGAAACATACCCCAAAATACATTAAAAAATACATATGTAAACTTAGTTAATGATAAAGACAGCATTTAAAAATCAGGAAAAGGAGGATGATCCATTAAATGGGACGCAGAGAGGTTAAGCAACTTGCTCAGTCACACAGCCCATAAGCGGTGGGTTAGCGATTCTGACTTGAGTGTCGTCTTCACTTCAGAACTTGCCCTTTTAAACATTACGCTATCCTTGCCTCTCTCTGCATTGCCACGCCTTTGGCAGGGCATGGCTAACAGAAGGCATCAATGAACGAGACGACAAAGGGATGCGGAGGGGGAAAAGAAAAAGACTAAAGTCAGAACTAAAAGCTAAGATGATTTGATGAAATCGCCCACCTGGACCAACAGTCCAAAACCCGGCCTGAGGCACGTCTAGGACCCCCGGAGGACTCTGCGTCTCGGTGGTAACCTCGCTCACGTAGCGCTGCGCCGGCAGGTGCAGCAATCGGCGCGACACGGGACCCTCAAGGAGTCGGCTCACGCGAGACCGGGCGGGCGGCGGAACTGGCCGAGTCTGCGCAGTCGGAGGCCTGAGCGGTGGGAGGACGCCTGGGGGCGCGCTCGCGGATTGGCAGGCACTGCTGGTCTGGCGGGGAGCGGGGACAGGGGGCCCGCAGCTCCGGGGAGCGCGCCGGGAGTGGCCGCCGGCCTCGGGCGCGGGGACCGTGGTGGTGGCTCCGCGCCCGAGTGAGGAGCAGGGGCTGCGCGATGGCGGCCGTGGAGGGGGCTCCGGTCGAGCGGGAGGCTGGGGGTGGCCTGGAGGTGAGACCCCGCTGCGTCCGCAGAGCTGGGGGCCCCGACGCCTGAGTCCCTCAGGGAAGCGGGGTGGAGAGCTCTTCGGAGGCAGGCGCCTGATCCCTCATTTCTCCGAGTGGGGAGAGGTTGGGCCTCGGGAACGAAGGCGCTTGGTGCGCGGGGTCAGGCCTTCCATGCCCCCAGCCCGCTGCTGGGTCTCGGCTGCCCCGCCCACGGCCCTCCCCCGGCCGCGTCCCCCAGCCGGGTCTCCAGTTCCCTCTCTGGGTACTGCAAAGTGCACCTCCCCCCAGGCCCGGGATCGATCCTCAGGCATAAATTGACCCTATTCCTTGCTCGGCGCTGCCCCAGACGCGTTTGTACGTGTAACTTAAAGTGTAAGATCTGGTTTTCGTGCTCCAGGAGTTACTCGCAGTCCGTTGGGGAGAATAGACCGAACCAGAGGAATGGACTGTATGGTTCAGGCATGTTTTAATACCCGATCTAAAATACCCGGACTGTTGGCGTTCAGAGGAGGGAGAGGTTTAGGCTGGCCTTTTTTTGGTAAAGGTCTGCATGTCCTTTTAGGAGTAGCTTCAAAAGTCATTTCCTTTGGGAAGCTTTCGAGGATTGCCACCTCCATACTGCCATCTTTAAGCTTTTCATCTTTTTTAGCTTATTTAGCCGGTGCTTATTCAGTATCTAATTCATAAGCACTTACTACCTTGTTTTGTGTGTGCGTGTGTCTGTCTTCCAGGGCCCTCTCTAGGCGGGGACTCTGTTTTGCATCACCTAATGCATGCACGTGAATATGAATTTTAAAGGATTGAAAGGGTTAGAAGGTACTAACTGAGGTGGGAAGCATTTGTGTAAGTCAGAGGTTGAAAATGATGGCCCTTGGGCCAGATTGGACTATAGACACATTTTCTTGGCTCATGCTGTTTGTTTTTATTTGAATAAATGGCCAACATTTTCAAATCAGGAGATTTCTTTCACATTCACTCACACAAAAATCGATACTTTCAGCATCGCTTTAAAAATCAGAAGATGTGGCCAATCGGGGCCCACATGCCTGCGTGGTGCAATTCGCAGGAGTTGAGTAGCAGCTCCCTTCTTTACATTCAGCATAAAATTTCCAGATCCTCAGTCCCCACTAATCTCCATTGTCTCTCTGACACTGAAACAAAGTATCAGTTGTCATTTATCACCCAGTTTGCTTCGCTCCTGATTAACTGCCTGGTCTCGCAGCCATTCAAGTTCTTGATTCCAAATGTAGATGGAGGAAAGCAGGAAGGCAGTCACACAGGAGAGTCATGGGCAAAGGGACGGAATGGGGAGACGCACAGTAGATGGGAAAGTTAGGATACCAGAGCATAGATTTGCTCTTAGGCAAATCATAGAGCAGTGCTATTGTTATGGGTTGAATTGGGTCCCCCAGAAAAGGTAGGTTGAGGTCCTAACCCCCAGTACCTCAAAATATGATCTTATTTGGAAACAGGTTGTTGCAGATGTAATTAGTTCAGATGAAGTCATCCTGGAGTAGAATGGGCCCCTAATTCAATATGACGTGGGTCCTTCTAAGAAGATGGCCATATGAAGACACAGGGAGATTGTCATGTGAAGATGGAGGCAGAGATTGGAGTGAGGCATCCACAGAGCAAGGAACACAAGGATTCCCAGCTGTCACCAGAATCTAGGAGTGAGGCGTGGAACAGTTATTCCTCAGAAGGGATCCCGCACTTATCCCGCAGAAGGAAGCAGCCCTGCCAACACTTTGATTTCAGACTTCTAGCCTCCGGAACCGTGAGGGAATAAGTTTTTGTGGTTTGAAGCCACCCAATTTGTGGTGCTTTGTTACAACAGCCCTGGGATACTAATACGGCTCTGAAAGTCAAAAACAAGTTATTATTTCCTTTAATAGGTGGTGGTAAACTTTTGATCATTGGTGTCAGCGAAAGCAGCGTTTTAGAAAATGATTTCGTATGACAGTGTTATCAGCATGATTTGGAGCCAGAAAGCATGTTTACAGATTTTACAGCAATCTAGGCATGAGGTGAGAAGGTGCTGGGTGAAGATGGGGTTGGAGAGAGCCAAAGGAGTAGTTTTCAGAGTGAGGGAGTAGGTACAGATAGAGTGATGGAGAGGGAGGAGTTCAGGATGTCTAGAGCAGGGCTTCTCAAACTGCAGCCTACCTAAGAGTCACCTGGGTGGCTTGGTAAGCAGTTTCTGGGCCCCGTCCCCACAGGCTCTGACTCAGTAAGTCTGGGATGATGCTTAAGAATTTGCATTTTTACCAAGCTCCTGGGTGAGGCTGGTGTGTGGATCACATTTTAGGTAGCACCAAACTATTGTGTTTCTGGCTTAGAAACCCCTAGAATACAAGCCCCCCTGAGGGCAGGGACTTTGTCTTGTTCGCTGGTGTATCCCAGGGCCTAGAACACTGCCTAAATACATAGGCTCACAAGAAATATTTGTTCAATGAAAGCTAGTCATTTGGGCAGAAATGGATAGTAAGACGGGCATAAGATTAGAAGCAAAAATGATGAGTTCATTTTTATCCATTTGATTCGTCTTGACTGTCAGCAAGACATTGGACCAAAGATGCATTGTGAATATACACTAAAATGTGGATGAGGAATAGGAGATTTAGATTTATGATTCATTCTGTACAAAGGTGATAATTGAAGCCAGAGGGGATATGGTCACTGAGATGTTAAATATAAAAAGAGAGGACTAGGGGCTGAGCCTTAGTAACATTTAATAGAAGGAGAAAGCTGACAAGGTCAGTGAAGAAGTGGAGTGATTGGAATATCATGCATTATAGAAGCCAAGGGAGAAGAGGATTTCAGAGATTATTTAGTCAAGGGAAAGAGGGAAGAGGGTTAACCTACTATTCATTTACTCAACAATTTTTTATTGAGTGCCCACTATGTTCCAGGTTCTATTCCAGCACTGAACAAAACAAAGACCCCACCCCATGGGGCTTATATCCTGGAGAGGCTTACACTGTAGTAGGGTGTGCCTTTCTTTGTGTTGGGGGTTTTTCTTGATCTGTGCAATAACACTTTGGAATAAGTGGTGTTAATTCTGTTTTGCATTTGAGGAGATGACGGTTGAGGGACATTGGGGAGCCAGGATTCTAACGTGGTCCTGCTTGCTTCCAAAGCCTGTGTTCTGTTCAAGACTCCAGGCTGTCATCACCAGTGTCACTTCTCTGCTTTAGTTACTACTTGAATGCTGATGATTCCAAAGTCTGTGTCTCCATTCTAGATTTTCCTTCTGGGTTCCTGACCCGCTGATCCATCGGCTTCCTGGACATTTCCTCCTGGATACTTCACGGGTACGTCACACAGAACGTGTATGAAATGGAATGCAGCACTGCCTCTCCCTCACCTCCACTCTTTCACCCCAGCTACCCAACTTGGGCAGTTGATCAGGTTAGGAACTTGGATGTCATCCTTAATGCCTGCTCTTTTCCCTCACGCCCTCTCTCTGGGTAGCGCCAGTTCTGCCTGGTTTTGCCTTTTTCAGTATATTGACTCAGTCCACTCCCCTGCCACTAGCTCCTTTAGGCCCTCCCTGTCTCCAGCACAGATCACTGCTGCGTTTCCTAACTGAGGTCCCAGCCTTCAGCTGCGCACCCACCAGGCCCTTCTCTATAAAGCAGCCTACCAATCTTTTTAAAAGATAAATCCAATTATGTCATTCTTTTGCTTTAACTCCTTCAGTGGCCCCCCATTGCCTTTAGGAGAATGTCCACACTTCTCAGCCTGGTACACGAGGCCCTCTGTGATTTGATCAGTACTTCACCAGCCTCATCCTTTACTATCTTGTCCTCGGGGCTACCATCATCTGGTGCATCGGTGAATGCATCATAGCTTCTCTCACCTCCTGGCCTTTGGACATACGATAGCCTCAGTCTGAAAATTTAGTCTCGTTATCTCAAATTGTCTTTCAGACCTCACCTTAGAAACTGGCTCCTTCAGGAAGTTTCTTCACCCATCCCTTCCCTCAAGGTTCTGCTCTCCCTCTGAGGTCCCACAGCACCCCATACCTACCCTTATTGTGCACTTAACCCATTTAATCGACATTGTCTGTAACAGCCACCGCAGGCTCCTCAAGGGCAGGCACTGTCCTCCTTTTGACTGTATTCTAACCATCTAGCACAGCGCCCAGCTCATACTGGGGGCTCCGTTAAAGAGCAAATAAATACTAGAGAATGGAAGAAATACAGTAAAGATAAAGAGTCATTGAAAAGACAGGGTGATGTGAGATGATTTTTAGCACATGGTCTCACACATTTTTAAAGCGAGGGGCAAGATTATGTACTTAGACCAAGGCAGGAAGTAGTAGAGATTTAAAAAGAGAAGAGAAGGTATAGAGTATCTGCTACTGACTCTCTATTAGGTAGTCACTGAGCAGGAACTTCTCTTTCAGGAATTCAAGATGCTACAGGATGTGGCTGTGAATGAACCACAGAAGGATGCTGGGTGCCGGGTCTGCGCCCGGTGGAATCTCTGCAAAGAAGAGATGCGAGAGGAGACACAGCTGATCTCACTGGGTAAGGGCTCTCTCCTCCCGCTCGGAATCCATACACTCTTGAGTTCTCCTTGAAAAACAAAAACCAAGAAAAGTTTGCAAAGAGCTCAGTGGAATTAGAGCATTAAGGATTCCCAGTGGCTTTGACTCCTGGAGGCAGGATGCTTCTGCTCTTTGTCGAAGGTTGTCTAGCCTGATCTGTGGAGTTGAAATCGACATTTCCTTGACTTTCGCTGAGCTTGCACAATCTCTGTCTTTCTAGTCCTGTTAGAAACCAGTAGATGACCAAAACTTAGCTCCTCTTCAGATCTTCAAAACCCACCCTCAAAACCTCCTCTTCCTGCTCTGACCTCTGTCTTCATAAACAGTGCCGTGTCCCACCCCCTGCCTAAGTCAGAAAACTGGAAGTCGTGCTTGATGCCTTTCTCCCCCCATATGCCATTACCTTGTTCTGTTGCTTCTAGGTTCTCCCATGGTGGACAGTGCTTACCTTACGGAGCACTGATCACACTATCTTATTATCCGTTTACACATTTATCTCCCCTCCTTTAAACTGCAAGTTCCTTGAGAGCAGGGACCATATCTATGTTCATTTTTGTATTCCCAGTACCTAGTACAATGTGTGGAGTGTGGTGGGTGCTCAGTTAATGTGTATGAGGTGAGCAAATCAGTGGATGATGTGAAACACTGATGCTGTTTTCCCACAAACTCTGAGTGCCGCTGAATTGGGCTGTAGAGCAGGACTCACCTATGGTCAAGCCTATTTTGTACCCTTCTGCTCCGGACATCCTCGGAGGGGAAGATTTCCTTGAGTTACTCCCTATTCCTTTCACCTATAGAATTGGATGAAAAATTTGAGCAGTGTTGCCGCTCATCTCTGCAGAGAGAGCTATGTGGGACTAAGGACTGGGTACTTTGCCACACCCGTGCTGGTGGCAAAGGTTGATCCCAATGATTCTTATAGAGAAGTGATCTTTTATCACTATTTCCAAACAATTTTTTGTTTCCCCTTTGTAGCCCCTTAGTACTTTTCTTGTATCATCTTCACTTTGTTCTAAATCTAAAGTGAAATGATACTATGTGTCCATATCAGTCAGGATCCAGTCAGGAGAGAAAAACTACACAAGTAGTTTAAAGAAGGGACATTTAATATAAAGAATTTTTAATGAGTGAAAGCTAGCTAACTACTGAAAGGGTTAAAAGAGGGCTCTAAGGGACACAGAAATAGACAATGCAGGAAGCAGCCTTGCCTCCAGGACTAAGGGAGAGAACCGAGAATTTCGAAGAGGACTCCGCCACCCCAGAGCTGAGATTCAGACCTTTTTGGAGAGGTTGTGGCTACCAGAGGAGCACAGAGCCTGCTGGTGGTGCAGAAACTTGTCAGAGGGCACAGGCCAGAGCTGTTCCATAAGCATGGCCTGCCCGATGGCAGAGAAATTTACTGAAAGGTGTAGGCAGGCGGGAGGTAGTCCATAGGAAAGGCCTGCTGGGTGAGAAGAACTCACCGGAGGGTGTGGGCCGGCTGGAGCTGGTCCACCAGAAGCCGTCAAGCCTCCCAGATGTTGCTTTGGTGGCCCCACCAAAAAGCAAAACAGCCCTCAGTTACCAGGAAGAGAAATCTCTTTTTGTGTGGCTTACGGTGTTCTTCTAGCGCCCTCTACTGACAAAGGAGAAATGTTTCAGGGTCCAGCTCCAGTACCACAAGTAGGGCAAAGAAGACAAAAGGGCATGTATAATATGATCCCATTTTTGTATCAGAAAAAATATATGCCCAGAAATGAGACTGGGAAAATATACAACAAAGCACTGGTAGTGGTCGTCTTTGGGTGGCAGGATCCTCTGATTATGAGCACCCTTCTGTGCTTTTCTGTGATTTTCCTATAAAAAGCATGTAGTATTTTTGTCAATAAAAAAATGTTATGGAAATGTATTTCTATGTAATTTTTAAAGATTCTTCTCTAAAATTATGAAAAACAGTTAAGAAACACATTAAGAATTGCAGTCCTTTTTTTAAATTATACGTTTCTGCTTTGGATTAAGGTATCTATTGATTCCCTGTCATGAAAGACAGGTAACAGCACAATTCACACTTACTCCCTCAGCTCTCCTCCTCACAGCGCAGTTTATATAATTATTTTTACATTGTCATGGTTTAAAGCAGTTACTTTCTATTCTACAAAAGTAGTTTCCAATTGTTTAATCTCCGTTCTACATTTAAATTGATTCGCTGCTCACCGTCCATTCCTTTACAGGGTCCTCTCAGTTCCTGAATGTCTATGTTGAATCATTTCTTCGTGGGCTGTATCTCATTGCCCAGCAGTTCTTTTCAAAAAGGGCTCGTGGGTGTCCTACTCCCTGAGGTTTTACCTACTTGAGAATGTTTGCCTTTTGCTTTTGAGACGAGGGCACACTTTGGTGGGTAAAAAATGATCACATCACACTTTGTTTCTTTTGAGAACTTTACAGACGTCACTGTCTTCTGGCGTGAAGTGTAGCTGTGGAGAAGTGCGGAGTCAGCCTGAAGTTCTCTCCTGCACGTTACTTGCTTCTCTGCCTAGATGCCCATTTGTTCAGTTGTTCCTGAAATTTGGTTACTTCACCAGGATATGTCTTGGTGTTGACTGTTCTATATCAACTTTGTATGGACTGCAGTGTACTCTGCCAATAGTCAAGTCTTTATTTCAGCAACATTTTCTTCTGTGATATAGTTGAATGGATTTTTCTTTCTGTTTGTTCTTTTTTTTAGGAACACTAATTATATGTATTTGAATAGCTTTCTTTCTTTTTCTTCTTCTTCTTCTTTTTTTTTTTTTTTTTTTGGTGAGGAAGATTGGCCCTGAGCTAACGTCTGTTGCCAGTCTTCCTCTTTTTGCTTGAGGAATATTGTTGCTGAGCTAACATATGTGTCAATGTTCCTCTCTTTTGTATGTGGGACGCTGCCACAGCATAGCTTGATGAGCAGTGTGTAGGTCCACACCCAGCATCCAAACCTGCAAACCCTGGGCTGCCGAAGTGGAGTGCACGAACTTAACCACTATGCCACTGGGCTGGCCCCTGAATATCTTTCTATTGCTACTGGTCTTCTCTATAATTGTGTTTTTTTGGTTTTTTTTTTTCTGCTTTATTTCCCAAACCCCCCTGGTACATAGTTGTCTATCTTAGTTGCAGGTCCTTCTAGTTGTGGGACGTGGGACGCCACCTCAACGTGGCCTGACGAGCAGTGCCATGTCCGCGCCCAGGATCTGAACCCTGGGCCGCCACAGCGGAGCGTGCAAACTTAACCACTCGGCCACGGAGCCAGCCCCTATAATTGTGTTTATATCCATTTCATTCTATGATTTCTCCAGGCCTCATCATGACTGTGTGATTATTTTTGTTGTTTCTTAGGTCAATTTCATCTACATTATGCTTTTAGTTTTCCCTTCCATTTCTTTCCTCAGCTCTACCAAATTACTTCTTACTTCTTTTTATTGTTTTAGAACATTTTTATTATTTTATAATCTATTTTGAACCCTTATATCTCATCTTTGAGTTTTTATTTAAAGAGTGATTTTGTCTATAATTTCTTTGAGATAGTGGAGAACTCTGCTGAATGCTTCCTATTAATTCCTTTGGTATTTCTCTTGGGGTGTGTGCTCCTAATCCCTCTGTTACTCGTGTTCCTTTCTTTCCTAAAACAACAACATCATCTTATCTTCAAGCACGCATCCTACTAAGTTGCCTTAACCATCACTACTCAGCAGTGAGTGGAGCGGCTTTCTGGGAAAGTCTGAGGGAAGAGGCAGAGGGAAGGGAACCGGGCACTTCCCAGCCTCAAGCAGATTTCCTGCCACCACACCGTCTCGTCAAATCTGCAGGCTTAGCCCCCTTCAGTGTTTGGTTTCCAGGGATAAAGCTAGCACAGGAAGAAGCCCTTTAGATCCCAGGCTCTTTGTGATACAATTTGACGGTCACACTGTCCCCTTCACCTTGCTTCACCTCTGTCAGTGCTCCTTAGCTCGGAACCAGGTGGAAGGTAATAGAAACGACCTGCCAGCGTGCTTTCTTCTTTAGCATCTTCTCCCCCGCCCCTCTGATATGTCAAACGAGATCTCTACAGCGACAGTCCCCACTTTCTCTGTGACACCCCTCCCCACCATGCCTCTAGATCGCTTCACTGCAATCAGAAGACCACTGAATTTGCCAGTCAGGAACATGAGACTTGAGAGATGTCTGTATATGGCCCTCTTTTTGAAGTTGGAGTTCACCTCATTTGTCATCCTTTTAGTTATTTTCGGTGGGTTTTGAGAAATGCCTTTACCATCTTTAATAATCTGTTTTTGAATTTTGAACAATATATGCCAAACCCAAACATAACAAACCCCAAAAAAGCACGAGAAGAGAAAATTATGACAAAACCAATTATTTCTGGTATTTTATTTGAATGTTATTTAAATGAAATCCAGCCTGGATATGGAGGCTTGTGCTAGGGACACGTTACTTAATGAAAATTCTTAGGCTTAAAGGGTAAAGATTCATAATAATAATAGTAATAACAAGAGCAGCTGGCCTTTATATAGTGCTTCTATACGCCAAGCATTGTTCTAAATGTTTTACATATATTTAATTCTCATAACAACTCTATGAGGTAAATACTATTATTTTCTCCATTTTAGAGATGCAGAAACTGCAGCACAGAGAGCTCCAGTGACTTGTGGAAGGTCACACAGTCAGTAAGTGATGGAAACAGGGTTCAAGCCCAGGCACTTTGCCCTGCAGTCCACTACGAGTCCATGCTCTTAATCACTGTGCTGTGTTGCCTCTTGTTCATTGCAAAAAGATTAATGACTAGACAGGGCCAGCCACTTGACCAGACCAAGGTGAAATGGCTCTCAGGGAGCTCAGAAAGGGGTTTTGTGACTGGGCAAAGTCAGGGAGTTGATGATATGGACCCTCAAGAGCAGTAAGCTCATTCATCTTCCAATTGCAGAAAGATACCAAATTGCCAGACAAAAGGAGTCGGTTCCACCAGGATACCAAAAAGAAAAATGTCGGGCCTGAGAAAGGGAGAATTGAATTCTATTAAAATGACACCCAAACATTTTTATTTTGAGGCATAGTTTCAGATTTGTTTAATTGTCATGGTATATTGGGAGGAATGAGTAGTGTGCCAGTTACTAATTTATTGCCTCTCAACTTCAAACCTACCCTGCTTTGTTTTGCTTGTGTTACTGGATCTGGACCATGTCTCCTTTGCCAGGTGGCACAAGATTGATATTTCATCAATAGAGGATGCTGGAGGGGCAATGCAAGGCCGTAGGACAAAGGAAGGAACTTCTCTTCCTGGTGCTGGGATGCTGTTATTTTATTTTATTTATTTGATTTTTAAATTAAATTAAATTTTTTATTTATTTTAATCTAATTTTTTAAATTTATTTATTTACTCATTTATGTTTTTGGTGAGGAAGATTGGCCCTGAGCTAGCATCTGTTGCCAGTCCTCCTTTTTGTTTGAGGAAGATTGTCCCTGAGCTAACATCACTGCCAATCTTCCTCTCTTTTATATGTGGTACACTGCCACAGGATGGCTTGATGAGCAGTGTGTAGGTCCGCACCCGGGATCTGAACCTGCAAACCCCAGGCCACTGAAGCAGAGCATTTAAACTTAACCACTATGCCACTGAGCCAGCCCCTATTTATTTATTTTTTTTATTGGTGTGGCTGCCAGCAGATCAACTTGTGGGAGGCCTGAGGGTACTCACCCTAGTGGGCTGCCTCCTCTAAACCTGTTCTGGACCCACCACAGGATCCAGCAAGTTCTTACCCCCTCCCCCATCATACAGGCCACTTCCTATGGACCAGTTCCAGACTTCCCACCTCCTCCAATGAATTTTTCCACCACCCTGCAGGCCACTCCCACACACCAGCTCCAGCCTGCACCCTGGCAAGTTTCGTCTTCACCAGTAGGGTGTGTGTTCCTGTGGTAGCCACAATCTCTCAAAAAAGTCTGAGTCTCAGGCCCAGCACGTAAGAATCCTCTTGTAAGTTCTTTGTTCCTCCCTGTTAAACTTCCCAGGATAGGGAAGAGGTGACACTTGTATTTTAGGAATTATAGAATGGTCTACTTATCATTTCAGATGCTGAGACCAGGGAATAAGATGAAGGACTGGAAGTCAAAGATGGCAATTTCTGAAGAAAAAGATTCAGCCAGGGCCGTATCAGAAAGACTGCAAAGACAGATGGGCCAGGAATGTGGGTTATTTGAAACTGGGGATCCTGAGGACATGTTATTGAGGCATTGGGCAAGCCCCTCAGAGGAGGCAGTGAGACATCCTCCTTCCCAAGAGAGAAGTATCAGGGAAGTGAATCTCATCCCCAAGACAGCCACTGCAGGAGAGAGAGGCCATAGATGTCATGAAAGAGAAGACATACTTTCTATAGGAGACAAATCCCACAGATATGAAGACTGTGACCAGAGCTTCAAAGAGAAGTCAGAAGTAAGTGAACATCTGAAAACTGATAATATAAAGAAAACCTATGAGTGTAAAGAATGTGGAAAAACTTTCAATCGGAGCTCAAACCTGATTATACACCAGAGAATTCATACAGGAAAGAAACCATATGTATGTAGTGAATGTGGGAAAGACTTTAATCAAAGTTCAAATCTTATTATACATCAGAGAATTCATACAGGAAAGAAACCTTATATATGTCATGAATGTGGAAAAAACTTCAATCAGAGCTCTAATCTGGTTAGACATAAGAGAATTCATAGTGGTGAGAATCCCTATGAATGTAAAGAATGTGGGAAGGCCTTCAAGGGAAGCTCAAACCTTGTCCTACACCAGAGAGTTCATAGTGGAGAGAAGCCATATATATGTAGTGAGTGTGGGAAGGCCTTCAATCAAAGCTCAGATCTTATAATACATCACAGAATTCACACTGGAGAGAAACCTTATGAGTGTTATGCATGTGGACAGACCTTCAGTCAAAGTTCACACCTTGTCACACATCAGAGAATTCATACTGGAGAGAAACCCTTCAAGTGTAGTGAATGTGAAAAGGCCTTCAGGCAGCGTTCACGCCTTACTGAACACCAGAGACTCCACAGTGGGGAGAAACCCTATGAATGTAGCGAATGTGGGAAATCCTTCAGTGGACGCACGGTGTTTCTTAAACATCAGAGACTACACACTGGAAAGGAACTTGAATGTGAAACAGCCTGCACTTCTAACTTGGACCTTCTCAAACAACAGAGAATTCATAGGGAAGAAAAACCTTATGAGTGTACTGAGTGTGGAAAAACTTTCCGGGGAAGTTCAGATCTGATTCGGCATTGGATAATTCATACTGGGGAGAAACCCTATGAATGTAGCGAATGTGGGAAAGCCTTTAGCCAGAGGTCGCACCTTGTCACACATCAGAAGATTCATAGTGGAGAGAAACCCCATCAGTGCAATGAGTGTGGGAGGGCCTTCCGGCAGCGTTCACTCCTTGTTCAACATCGGAGAATCCATAGTGGTGAGACACCCTATGAATGTAAGGGATGTGGAAAACTCTTCATCTGGCGCACAGCGTTTCTCAAACATCAGAGACTGCATGCTGGACAGAAACTTGAGGAATGTGAGGAAACATTCAGCAAGGATGAGCTGCTTCGAGCTGAGCAGAGGATTCACCAAGAAGACCAAGCTTATCAGTGTAATCAGTGCAGGAGAACTTTCCGAGGCAGCTCCGACCTCATTAGACATGAGGTGACTCATACAGGAGAGAAACCGTATGAATGTAAAGACTGTGGGAAAACTTTCAATCAGAGCTCGGACCTTATGAGACATCATAGAATTCATAGTGGAGAAAAACCTTACATATGCAATAAATGTGGGAAATCTTTTAGGGGCAGCTCAGATCTTATTAAACACCATCGTGTTCATACTGGAGAGAAACCCTACGAATGCCCTGAATGTGGGAAGGCCTTCAGTCAGAACTCACACCTTATTAGTCACCAGAGAATTCACACTGGAGAGAAACCCTTTGAGTGTAGCAGCTGTGGGAAGGCCTTCAGTGGGCGCACAGCTTTTCTTAAACATCAGAAACTTCATACTGGAAAGGAACTTGGGGAATGTGAGAGAGTCTTCCAATAGGACCTATTCTGATAGGTAACAGAAACCCAATGAATGTAGGAAAAGCCTGCTGGAGACCACATCTTATTGTACTGTAGAGGATTTTTATTGCTGAAAACCATTTGAAGGTAGGAAAACACTGGAAGAGTCTGGCTAGATGGAAAACATACGAGTGTAATCAGGTGGAAAAGCTCTTGGACATCATAACCTTTTTTATGCCTCAGAGTTGACACTGGAGTATGGTCCCAACATACTTGAGAATGTTTTAGGGGACTTCTGTCGTTATTAAAATCATTAGAAATCACTTTGGCAATAATCCCAAAACTAAATTCTTCATGGAAGGAGCCAGTTCAGTCTTGACAAGAGACAAGTATAAATCTGCTTTAAGTACTTTAGGGCGATAAAATCTTTCTCTGGGATAAATTCTTCCCCTTACATATATTTTATACATGTTCCTCTTTTAGCTTCCTTATAAAAATATGCTTATGCAGATGTAATAGTGCTAATTAGAATGATCCACTAATTGAGAGGAAACAAAAAGTAATAGAAAGGACTTGACAACAGTACCTAAAGGCCAGGACACAAGAGCCAGTGAGGTATTCCCCAGAGAAGGAGTAGTGACTACTAGTGGTTTCAGGAAATGAAAAGGGAAGGGACAGGAGGACAGTAAGTGTTGGGCACAGGATTAGACTGAGTGCCAGGGCAGAGCGTTTAGGTGACGTGAGTTGGTGGGAATTAGAAGAAAGCAACTACTGTCAAAGGTCCGGTGAGTATAGGGAGAGGGTTCTGTCTTGAACCAAGGCTTTGTAATTGGGCACAGCTTACTTGAGGGTTGGAATGTCTAACAGAACTCTGAAGCAAGGTCAGTCATATAACCTGATAGCTAACTTTGGTAGTTAGGCCCTGCCTGTCTGTGCAATCAGACTCAATCATCAAATATTTCTTGTACTCTGAACTACTGGCAGATTGTCTATGAATTTACATGAGTCATCAAATAAGAAAGTTACTTGAATGGGACAATGTAAGGCAAGGAGAATTTCAAAGTCGTATTTTTCCTCAGTGGGAGTAGCTTGTGAGATGCACGGAGGGGACCAGTGGTTCTCAACTGGAGTGATTTTGTCCCCCAGGGGACATTTGGCAATGTCTGGAGACATTTTGGTTGTCACAACTGGGAAGAAAATATTCCAAACCAGGGATGTTGCTAAATATTTTATAATACACAACCCCCCACAACAAAGAATTATCTGGCCGCAAATGTCAATAGTGCCATGGTTGACCATGGATATTTAGAACACTAGTCACCTGGGGCCATTTAAGCAAGTGTTTCACGGAGATGTGGGCAGTGGCACTGCACCCCAAGGGGAGCCCAGAGTCTGATAGAAACCTTTAGTTTGATGAACTGTTTCAAGAAAGGCAGTCCGGTGTAGTGGAGGGAGCACAGACACAGGTTTGAATCCTAGTACAACATATTGGCTTCGGGACCTGGAGCAAAGTTTGTAACCCCTCTGATTCTTATTTTCCTCATTAATAAAATGGTGATAGAATAATATACCTCAAGGTGTAATTGTGAGGTTTAAATGAGAAAACTGAAATTTACTGTTAACATATAGAAGGGCATCTGGAGCTTTAATTGTGTTTAAACAGAAGAGGAAGTATTTACAAGCGAAATGTAAGATGTATAGGATACAGTGGTGTCTGGTGGCTGGTGTGAAGACTATAATCTGTTAAAGTTCAAAGCATTAGAGGCTATGGCTTCCCCAGAGGGGCATCCTGAACAGTAGTGGGAAGTCTGGAAGTGGAGAAGCCGTCCACACCATCCTTCACAGCTGGCTTCTTACGGATGATGTTGTACGGGGGCTCCAGAAGCCTGCCGCCCCCATCACCTGCCTCAAAGCTTTACGCTCTTCAGTAACCTCACATAAATTAATGATGTTTTTATATGAGAATATCTTTTAAATATATTTGGGAAGCAAAAGGAATTCAAAATAGCTATCATCAGTGATACACTTGGATTAAAAATTAAAGATATTTAGGGGGCCGGCCCCGTGGCCGAGTGGTTAAGTTCTCGCGCTCCACTTCTGCGGCCCAGGGTTTCACCGGTTTGGATCTTGGGCGCACATACGGCACTGCTCATCAAGCCACGCTGACACGGCATCCCACATGCCACAACTAGAAGGACCCACAACTAAAAATACACAGTATGTACTGGGGGGCTTTGGGGAGAAAAAGGAAAAATAAAATCTTTAAAAGAAAAATAAAGATATTTACATTTTTTTAGTTCCTAGAATTCTAGTTAGAATCCCAGATTCTAACTGATCAAAACTTTTAGCTAACTGAAACATTTTAGCATTCCATTTTTATAAAAGAAAGGAATTGGGAATTTATTCTAAAAAGCCCATCACCATCTCCTGTACTCACAGTGCTGTACAGTGAGAGTGATGTTCATAAGGAGAAGCAGGATATTGAAAGAGTCTCGAAGGGAATAGTCTTTTTATTCCATTAGTGGGCAAATACCTAATTTGCCTTGGGCTTTTTAAAATATTAACTATTGCTTGAAGACCTCAGATTGAAAATTAACCTTTTCATTTCATCCCTGATAGAATGTGAATTACATCGAGTGTATTGGACTTGTGAAAGCAGGGGGAAATTTTTATTACAGAGTGGAAATACTTTCAACTATGAAAGTTATGCAAGAAATACTTATTGAGTGTCTAATACGTGCCAGGGGCCACAATTAGATAGATAGGGCTAGACAAAGACAGTCATGGTTCTTCAAGGAGCCTCGAGTCCAGGGGGGCTCGAGGAGGACAAAGGAGTTAATTCCATTAAGCAGACAATTCATGAAATGAAGGCCCATTCAAGGTTTTAGGGTACAAGTGGACGTGGCAGTGTCCAATTTGTAAGTCTGAATTCCGCAGAGTAAGATCTACCTGTTAGGGAGCTGCGTACATTGGAACTTTGAGAAAAGAGCCTAAAGGATAGAAGCTTGCCTTCATGAGACCATAAACAGCTAAGGAACTAAACTCCAGGAGGACCAAAGCTGAGAGATTATCAAATCTCCTTGAGGAACAGGGGTGATTGGAGTGTGGGTTAAGTTTTCTCCATATAAATATTTCATAGGAAACAAAACTGTTACTACCACTTTGGAGAGAGAGCATGTGAGTACAGTAGAGGAAGGGAATGTCACCCAATAATCTGCCAATTTAGTCCACTTTGCTTGATTTTTGGTGCCCTTAGAGTGAGGCCATCATCATCTGTTGCTTGCATCACCACAGCCTCCTAATATGCCTCCTTGCTTCCATTTCTCTACAGAGCAGCCTAAATGATCTTTAGAACAAATCTGATGGTGCCACCCCTCTAAACTTCTGCAGTGGTTTCCCGCTAACCTGAGCCCGAAGTCCAGTCCTTAATGTGACACACGTGTTCTGACCTAGCCCCATTCATCCACTCATCTGGTGAATATTTGTTGAGCTTCTAATATGTGTCAGGCACTGGGGTGTACAAGGAGGGGTGAGCAGAAGCAGACAACAGTCTCTGCCCTGGTGGAGCTTCTAATAGCAGAGGACAGATTTAATTAGAATCATAAGTAAAATGACAACTGTCAAAATTGACATTAGTGGGGCCATTTTAAAATGGAGTTGGAGCTGCCTTTCCAGAGAAACTGCCTTACTGCCTTGAACCTTGGACGGAGCTAAAACTGCAGTTGTTTACAAGCAATTGTTTGGGCGGTCAGCAGGAGAAGTACATCCTGATCACAAAGACCTAGGGTGGTGGACTTTCTGAAGATAGAATCAATAGTCAGTCAATATTTAGCCAAAACTAGCTCTCTGCCTCCAACTCCAATTAAAATTCTTTGTAATACAACCTCCCTTCTTTGCCTTTAAAAGCCCGTGACTTTTACTCCCTAGCGGGACACTATTTGGGTTGCTGCCAGAATCTCTGCTCCCAGAATTGCAATTCTTTAATGCCAAAATAAACGCCTGGCTCCCCTTTTGGCTCTTTGTTTGTAGGTTAACACAAGCATGGTTAAGTGCCACAAAGGAGACGCATGCTACTGCAGTGGGGAGTTTGACCGAGTTGGGGAGGGCTTTCTGCAAAGTGCTTACCTTTCTAAATCCAACATTTACCCCTGAACTGTCTGCAATTCCCAAGGACCTAGGCACTGCCCTCTTGCCCTATGGCCTTTCCGCAGGCTGTTCCCTCTGCCAGGCATGCTCTCTCCCTCCTTCCCTAGCTCTGTTATTTTTTTTACTACTTCCTAGCGTTGGGTACCATGATAAGAACTTAACACCAATTTCTCTTAGATTCTTAGTCTCTGTCTTCATTGGTGGTCCTACTGTTATCCCGGTTTTCTAAACAGGAAACTAAGGTCAGAAGACAAGGTAATTTGCTCAGAGACCCAGAACTAGTAAGAGAAGAAACTGGAATGCAAATTCAGGCCTGACTCCAATGCCCGTTTTCCTAGGCAGGGCAGCAGCATCTCCCAGTTCCCGCACATGCCCTCCCCCATCGACGCCCGGTCGGGGTTGGGTGCTCCCGCTGTGCTCCCACAGACCAGCCGGCACAGCACAGCAGTTAGCATTTACTTGTCGCTCCACTAGACTGAGCCCTTCCTGGGCGGGGACTGGGTCCTCTCTGCAGGTACCCCGACACCGGGCGGAGGGCCGAGCCCCAGACACGGGACAGACGAGGGCTCGCGTGGCGGCAGCGCGGCCCTCCCTCCGGGCTTGTCTAGGAAGGAAGGAGGACTCGATTCGGTGGCCGGGCGCGCCGCCGGGAGCCGGAGCCAGTGGCGCGCGCCGAGGGGTGGGGAGCGCCGGCCGCAAGCTTCCCCGAGCGGCCGCGGCTCCCGGTGACCAGTCGCGGTGGGGCACGATGGCCGAGGCTGCGGAGGAGCCGCTCAGTGACGGGGACACCGATGGCAGCCTGGCGACGAGCCCGCGCAGTGGCCGCGCGCGCGGATCAGGGCTCCCGGGCTCGGGCTGCCGGCTTTGCCCCTCTGACCGAGCCGCTGGGGTCCCGTCCGGCCCGGCCCAGCGCTCGGCTCCGCGCTCGCGGCCCCACCGCACGGAGGCCGGTGGTCCGGGCCGGCAGGATGGCTCTCGCTAGCCGGCCGGCGCCAGAACTGTGGTCCCCGCGCCCAGAGCCGCGGCGGGCGCTGTGCTCTGCCGGCCCGCGCGCAAGGCGAGCGCGGCGAGGACCGAGCGCAGGAGCGAGGAGGGCCCCGGGCTTCCGCGTGAGGAGCTTCTTCAGGGACTCGAAGGTTGTTAATGGGGACCTTTTGACCTTCGCAAAACGAAGTTTCTTCCGGATTGGATGGGTGTCAGGGCGGTGGCTTCTTGAATTTTGAGCAAGCATCACAGGCGTCTAAATCCCTCTGGGATACAGAACTGTCTCTGTTCCCTGTTGTGAAATGTCCTCTCTAAAAAGTCAGAGGCTCCCTGCCCACGTCCTTATCTCCTCTACCCCCAGAAATGCCTCTAGCAAATCAAAGGGGCCATCCTGATATCTTGCACTGATGCCCGCGCTTAACTAGCAGGGGGCTGACTCCAGTGGACATCTAAGATGGGCTGTGATGGAAGAGCTGTCGCTACAGTCGGGGGCCTAGATCTTAGACTGCTCCCGAATCCGGAATATTTGCGCTTCGAATCAGAGTCCCACACGGTAAGTGTTAATGTAGAAAAAGTATTTTCACAGTAGTGAAAGAGAAATAGATAAGATTAGAGGAAGGCAGGGAACACCAGCTTTGAAACTGTTGAAATGGTGCAAATAGAGAATGATACACTCCTAATTTGTAACGTTGAGTTGAAAGGAAAAACCAATAAAAGAGATATTTTAATAACAATTGAAAAGTCAAGAGAGGAGAAAAGGTCAAATGATCTGGAGCTTGGGAGACAATATGACCGTGTATAACTAAAAGTTAAATTTGGGGTCTCATATTTTGTGTACTTGTTTTTCCCCTAATACTTACCTAGTGCCTACTGTGTGGCAGGCACCATTCTAAGTGCTTTATATTCATTCAGTTAATCCTTATCAACCCTACAAAGCAGGTGAAAACCCTACAAAGGTGGAAACCCCATAAATAGGTAAGGTACAGAGACGTCAGGAAACGCGTCTGAGGTCTCCAGTTAGAGAATGGCAGAGCCAGAATTGGAAGCAAGTCTGGTTCCAAAGTCTGTGCTCTTAACCGCTTTCCCAGAAAGACCCTCAAAAGGAGGGGGAGCCTGGTTTGGATGTGGAAGTCAGAGGAGGACTTGGCTTATTTAGAGCAGCAGTTTTGAATTGCTGTATTCACTCACTGAATGGGTAATTACTGAGTGAATACAACGTGCCAAACTCTGTTGTAGGCACTGGGATACCACACGGAACAACCACCCTGCCCTTACAGAGTAAAGGAAAATCACAACAGACGACTATGTTGGGACCAGATTATGGACATCTGTCAAAGTCAAATAAAATAGGGGCCTGCCCCGTGGCCGAGTGGTTAAGTTCGTGTGCTCTGCTTCAGCGGCCCAGGGTTTCCCCGGTTCGAATCCTGGGTGCAGACATGGTACTGCTCATCAGGCCATGCTGAGGCGGTGTCCCACATGCCACAACTAGAAGGACCCACAACTAAAAATACACAACTATGTTCCGGGGGACTTCGGGGAGAAAAAAGGAAAAATAAAATCTTTTAAAAATAAATAAAAAGTAAAGGAAAGTTAGATCTGATACAGTAATAAATAGGGAGAAGTAAAGGTTTTTGAACAGTGATTAACCTGATGAAACTGATGTATAACTAACAGCATTGTCTAGTCTGAACTGGAGCAGATCTTGGTGTCAAGATTGTTAACCAAGTAACAAAATTTAAACTATGCATTATTTACTGAAAGCTAACTGAGCCAGGCTAAGCACTTTACATGTATTGACTCATTTAATCCCCACGAAACCTCTCTTAGGTTCTATTACTGTCCACATTTTACAGATGAGGAAACAGAAGCACAGAAAGGTTAAGTAACTAAAGGCCACACAGCAAGTAAATGGCAGAGGCAGACTCAGGAGTCTGTATCCAGAGCCCATATTCTTTTCTTTTTTTTTAAAGATTTTATTTTTCCTTTTTCTCCCCAAAGCCCCCCAGTACATAGCTGCATATTCTAGATGTAAGTCCTTCTGGTTGTGCTATGTGGGACGCCGCCTCAGGATGACCTGATGAGCGGTGCCATGTCCGCACCCAGGATCTGAACCGGTAAAACCCTGGGCTGCCAAAGCAGAGCATGCAAACTCAACCACTCGGCCACCGGGCCGGCCCCAAGAGTAATCTTTTCTATGTTCTGTTGGCATCTTTCCTTTGCTCCTATGTAGGGACAGCAAGCCCATCCCGTCCTTCCTTTACCTCCACTACTCTCTGGATTCCCCCGCACACCCATGGCGAATTTAAGTAATCCACACTCTGCCCGTACACAGTACTCTGTTCTTACGAGCCCACGAACAGCCTCAGCACTTAAACTGGTGTTTTAAGCCAACCAGTTTTCAGTCCTTCACGGTTGACACTTGAGATAAAAGCCACTTGCCATTCTTCCCCCTATATCTTGAGTATATCCACTAAATGGCCAAGAAAATGAAACTGTAGTGAAGGGCTCACCTCTCAGGCAAAAATTATGTCATAAACAACTTTTGAAGTCTCGAGGCTGCTCACCATGATCTCCCTAACCGTCCTTCTCACCTACAGAGGGGCTCCCAGCAGACAAGTTTACCCTGTGTGATCCCCCAAGCCCTGCACTCACCCTGCCACCCCTGGTTAGAGAGAAGTTGACACCTGACCTAAACTGGGACAGCTGATTCTTTTTTCTAAGATTTTGGAACTGGAACTAAAAAATTCTAGTTCATCCAGGGCTGGTCTTCCAAATAAAGGAAATTTTAAGATCCAAGGGCTGAGGTAATAAAAGAGAAAGACGGTCTGCAGAGAGAAGAATGAAGTGGACTCAAATTCTGATTCAGTAGCTGTCCCATGTGTTTCTGACAATCAGTCAAGTTTGGGAACTGCTTTCATAAACCATAAAAGTTAGCTTTAGAAGCCTTTCTCTTTCTTAGGTTATAAAACTGTTTTTGAGAATTTAGAAGCTCAACCCAAACACAGAAATGCTTTCCTTTGATTATTTGCCACCTTCTAAGAGTTTCTTTTCTCCTAGCATGAGAAGGCAACCATTTATACTTTTAATTTATGTTTCAGATAATGAAAAGAAAACTAACAGAAGAAATGGAAGCTAAAGTGGGAAATTTCGGAAGAAATAGAATCAGGACACCCAATACAAATACCCCATGGATGTAAATTCTTAGGACCCAGTGACTTTAAGAACAGCTTGGAGAGGCAGCAGGTAAACCCGTGAGAGGCTGGACCGGCACAATCCTTTTTTGAGGACAGGAGCTTCAGTCAAGTGAACAGTATCCTTAAGAAAACCCTTATAAGAGAGGGAAAACTTAAATATGATAAGCAGGTGAGAATTTGTGATCTGAGCCCATTTGTTACACATCAGAGAGTTTCTGCAGAGGAAAGAACCTATAGGGGCAAGGCAAGTGGCCAGAGCTTCAAACAGAAGTCAGGACTTACTCAGCATCAGAAAATCCATACCGTAAAGAGAACCTGTAAGTGCAGTGAATGCGGAAAGGTTTTCACTAGGAGCTCAAACCTGGTTACACATCAAAGAATTCACACAGGAAGGAAACCTTATGTTTGTGGTGACTGTGGCAAAGACTTTAGTCAGAGCTCCACTCTCATTCGACATCAGCAAATTCATAGTGAGGAGAATCCCTGTGAATGTAATCAGTGTGGAAAAGCTTTCAGGGGAAGCTCAAACCGTGTCCTGCACCGGAGAATTCATAGTGGAGGGAAGCCGTATATATGCAATGAATGTGGAAAGGCCTTCGATCAAAACTCAGATCTTACTATACATCACAGAATTCACAGTGGAGAGAAACCCTATGAATGTAGTGACTGTGGGAAAGCTTTCAGTCAGAGCTCACATCTCGTTACCCACCAGAGAATTCATACTGGGGAGAAACCCTATGAATGCAGCAAATGTGGAAAAGCCTTCAGGCAGACTTCCCTTCTTATCCAGCATCAAAGAACCCATAGTGGAGAAAAACCCTACGAATGCCCTGAATGTGGGAAAGCCTTCAGTGGGCACACAGTTTTTCTTAAACATCAAAGACTTCATATTGGAGAAAAACTTAAATATGAGAAAGCGTTTAGTTCAGATCCAGAACTTAATGGACAGGAGAAAATTCACAAGGAAAAGAAACCTTATGAATGTAATAAATGCGGAAGAACCTTCCAGGGCAGCTCAGATCTTATTAGACATCAAACAGTTCACACTAGAGAAAAACCTTATGAATGCAGTGAATGCAGAAAGGCCTTCAGTAGGAACTCAATCCTTATAGAACATCAGAGAATCCATTCAGGTGAGAGGCCTTATAAATGCAGCGAATGTGGGAAAGGCTTTCGGGGGAGCTCACAACTTACTCAGCATCAAAGAATTCACAGTGGAAAGAAACCCTATGAATGCAGTCAGTGTCCAAGACTTTTAACCAGAGCTCAACATCACAGATGTTCACAGTGGAGAGAAGCCCTATGAATGTAAAGAATGTGGAAAAGCCTTCAGATGGAGCTCAGATCTTATTAGGCGTCAGAAAATTAACACTGGAGAGAAAGTTCATGAACATAACGAGTGCAGAAATCCTTTCAGTCAGAGCTCAGGTCTTAGCCTCAGAGAAACCACAGAGGATCATAGCCCTAGGAAGACAGTAATGATAAAGACAGACAGACGGACAGACAGACAGATGGACAGATAGACACATACATACATACGTACACGGATACATAGATAGACAGATAGATAGATGGGTGGATGGAGACATATAGATATTTGTTTGTTTTTAATTACTGTTGTGTCTACCTAGGCATCATAACTACTTGGAAAATTCTAAGCTTCCTAAGAGCGATTTCTGTCTGATTCGGTTTAGAGTACTTAGCCTCAGGCCATGTGCAGGTATGTCCTTCTTAAATGCATCCCACAGAAACCTTGATGGGGTAAGCCTTTAATTACATTTTTACCCCTTTATCATCAGAGATTCCACACCACAGCGAAATCCTGCAAATGGAGGAACTTGGTATAAAACACCTATATCATCATGGAATGGTGCCCTTGTACGTCCTATCCAGCAGCACCAGGAATCTAATAGCTTCTCCCCTATCTTTTTATCTGTAATATGAACTGTCCCAGGGGAACATACAGGATGCCATCCTGAACTCCAGGGTGGGGGTTCCTTCCTGGGACGCAGTCTAATCCCAAAGTCTGCAAATGGTCTTGAGGTTTTCTCGTTAGAATAAATAAATGTCAATATATAGATTAGGGAGTTTGAGCTTGTTTCTCCATTCACAGTAAAATTATATACAGAAGCAGCTAACCTAGGAAAAGGAAGTGGATAGTGAGTCATAGGACAGCTGTCTTCTTTCACGTGAGCGTGGAAGTTGTAACTGAATCTCTTCTGCAGGATTTAAAAGTTTAATGGCACTTTGGAGTCTGACGTACTGACATTCCAGGCTCTGTCACTTTTATCTGTGTGACCTTAGGCAAGTTTTTATCACATTTCTGAGGCTTGGTTTTCTTATCTGTAACATCACAAGAATGATCCCTCCTCGTGGGGCTGTTGTGAAGAGGAAATGAGACAGTTTCGTTCAGCACTAGCGTAGTTCTAGACACACAGTAGACGACAAACGGCAGCCGCTGCTCTCAGCAGCTCCCCTGGGCAGTGCTTACCTTAGGCACTTTGAAGGAAAGGAGACGACGCGTTCTCCCTGCTCAAGCCTTCTGGAAGATCACAGCATCCTGCATTTCCCGATCCTGCCTGAAGTTAGAAGGGGCTTGGCCTAGTGGAAATGTAAGTAAATGGCAAGGAGTGGGGCAGGAATTTTTACAAATTTTCAAGGATGCTATATCTTTTTTCTTTTTTGTTGTTAAGAACATTCAACATGAGATTTACCCTCTTAGCAAAGGTTTAAGTGTACACTATAGTATTGATAACTGTAGGCACAACGTGCAGCAGATGTCTAGAACCTACTCAGCTTCCATAACTGAAACTGCGCCCGTTGAACAGCTGCTCCCTTCTTCCCCCTCCCCCGGGCAACCGCCATTCTACTCTCTGCCTCTATGACTTTGACTATTTTAGCTACTTCGTATAAGTGGAACTGTGCATTGTTTGTCCTTCTGTAGGCTGCTATGTCTCGGAGACACAAATTTAGCAGTTAAATTGAGAAACGTTTCTATAGTCCTACAGAGTGGAATCAGGATTTTTCTTGGAGAGGCTAAGATTAAGCTGTTTTATGAAAGTATTGAGAGATCAGATCGATAAATACCCTGTGAATATGACAGTGCGAGAAGTTTAATTCCACTTGGTGCCTTAACTGGTTTCGAGAAGGTAATAATCAGAGAGAATGAGGAAGTCTTAACTTTTTCATATCTGAAGGCAAATTTTAGTGAGTTGGGAAAGGTTCTTTGGACCATCTGAATTATTTCAGAGGAGCCAAGGCCCTGTGGTGTGCTTTAATCTTTGCATTCTTATACCTCCCCAGGCTCTCCAGTCCGGTGACCTTTCTCCTATGTCCCATCCATCATCCTTCCTGGTTTAACTCGTTCCCTGCTAGACCATTGCCCAATGCTTCCGCAACTTTCACCAATATCTTTGCCTCATTTACCTTTTTGCCTCAGTGTCCTTCAGTCGCATGTACCTAGCCAAAATAAAAACCTGCTGTGGACACCCCCAACTGTGCCCTTTTCTGAGCCTGCACCTGGCTTGAGGAAGAAAATCACACACCTAGGGAGACTTATGCCCTTGGGCACTCAACACGAATGCAATCTCCAGTCAGCATTCTCTCCCACTGTCTCTAATAACCACTTCATACCTGCCCTCCCTCTTTACACAGCTAACTACCCACCCACCACCCCTTCTTATCATCTTATCTGTTACTTCACAGAGAAATTAGAGACCTTCACAGAAACGTTTTCAACTTTCTGCTCCCATCCTCATCCCTCAACCGTCTCTCATACATGTATCCACCTGCATCTTTGCTCCCTTTTCAATAGAAGAACTCCTTTCTATCTCTGCTTCCTATCCCACTCCCTCTGGGACCTCGCTCCATCCAATTATCCCATCTCTTTCCTGTATCTTCAACGTTCTTCTCCACTGCCCCTTCCCAAATGTGAAAAAGTATGTTCCAGTGTCTTCCATCCTAAAAAACAAAGCAAGCAAAACTGAACCCTCCCTCTCCTGATCCCATTTTTAGCTTATATCATCTCTCTTCATAGCCAATTTTTATCTAAAGACTTGTCTGCATTCATTGTCTCCAATTCTTTATGCCTCTTCCTCAACCCATTGAGGTTCCTCTCCCAACCCTCTTATCAAATCTGCTTTTACCAAGCACTCCAATGACATTGGTCACTAAATCTACTCCTTATCTAGCTGCCTTCTTCTAAACCATTTCTTCCCTGAAGCAGGATGGGTTTGAATGTAGCAGCTGAGGATGTTGAAAACATAGCGGGTAAATATGTTGATGTCCCTTGACTGGAGTGAGAGTGCAAGTCATTTCTCCTTCCAGCTTCTGAATCTCTGAAGAAATGAAGATTTGGAGGAACTTTGCCTCTGCCTTTGAAGTTGATGAGCTTAGAAGACCTAAACTTCTGGTAAAGGAGGTGACACTATGACCGTGTCTTGTCTGGGGAGCCTGAGTTAAGCCTGTGGTGAAGAGGGCCTTGAACGGCACGGGGCAAGTTTGAAGGAGCTTGATGAGAATCTTGGGTAAAATGGTTTCTCCCGATTACCTCTGAAAGGCACCCAAGACCATGTTTGTGCATGTGTGAGCACGGAGACCGCCCCCTGTGCTTTCTTTCCTGTGCGCATAAAGAATCGCTGGGTCAGCTCTGGCAGCACCTTTAGGTCCTGAGGGTGACAGCGCAGCAACGCTTCTTCTCCGAGCCTCGGTCCCCCGTTGTTCTTGCAGTAGCCTCGAAACTGTTGACCTTTCTAAGCCGTCACATACACCTCTATTTGATTTTCTCAAAACACTGCTCTCGTGCTCTCACACACAAACACATGGAAACTCACACTCAAAAACAGAGCCGGTGGCTGCCTGAAGTAAAGGTAAAGTAAAAGGTCTTAGCGTGGCATTTAATACGCTCTCTCGTCAGATCCCATACAGACTGGTCTCTCACTTCATGAGACCCTCCAGTTCAGGGTCTGGTCTAATTACTCTCCCTAAACAGCCACCGCCTCATGCTAACTCCTTTAAGGTCCAGTTCTCTATCTCAGGCCCTCTGATCCCCTGTAGCTTTTAGAGTCCCTACCACTTTAACTTTTTCTTTAAATGCAGGTAACACGTTTGACAAGTTCTGTCAGGCATACAACTCAATTCTTTGATTTTTTTGTTTTGGTTTGGTTTTTTGAGGAAGATTAGCCCTGAGCTAACATCTGCTGCCAATCCTCTTTTTGCTAAGGAAGCCTGGCCCTGAGCTAACATCCGTGCCCATCTTCCTCTACTTTATATGTGGGATGCCTGCCACAGCATGGCTTGTCTAGCGGTGCCATGCCATCCGAACCGGTGAACCCCAACCTGCTGAAGCAGAACGTGCGAACTTAACCGCTGCGCCACCCGGCCGGCCTCTCAATTCTTTAAAGAGAAATGCTGTGGCGCTTTTTTTTTTCTTTTTTTATATTGTTCATTGTAAGAAAAAATCAAACACTCAAGCAGAATTTGTTTGAATGAATAAACCTTTGTTTCTCCAATCTCGCAGCTTACAGGAAGCCATTATTATACTGTCAATCTTTTATGTATGTTCTCTTGTTTTCTTCACACTCCCCACTACCTAGACACTGAGCTTTTTGAAAGCAGGGAACTGTGTGTGTGTCCCCTCACCTCCAACCGAGACCCCAATTTACATATGTATTTTTGTTCAATAAATGCTTGAACGAATGTCTGAGTTTTTAATTGTCTAGTTTTTTTCATTGAAAACTATATTCATCACAAGAGCAGAGTATGTGTAATTTTCTTTGCTTTTCTTTCTCCTCTAGATATAAGCATAAACTATACATTATAGAAAAAACTCAGGTTAAACAATATTTTGCTTGGGCAAAGTATTCATTTATTTCAGATTAAACTTCAGGGTTGGTTTCTAGTTAAACATTTTGATTCGCATTTAGAAATGTCTGCCTGAACACAGTGCTTCATGTTACATCTAAATGGAATTCCTCTGTAGCACTTTCTTGGGCTCTTCCACCAGAGTCAGGGTTGTTTTACAAACATTTAGCTGGTGCACATGATTTTGGTAATTTATATTTTACTAGAAGATCATCTAGGGTTTCAGATTTCGTCTAGGTTTTCAAATATGCTACCGTTAAGTTGAATGTAATAGTCTCTAATTCTTTTAATCTCTTCTGATTCTGTGGTTATGTTTTATTTCTCATTCCTATTCTTGTTAATTTGTATTTCCCTTTCTTAATCAGGATCTAAACAAGTTTATCTACTTTATTGCTCTTTTCAAAGAAATCAGCGTTTGAATTTATGCCTTCTACTATTTTTAACTTTTCCATGTCATTAGTGTTTTTTTAAAAAAGATTGGCACCTGAGCTAACAACTGTTGCCACTCTTCTTTTTTTTTTTTCCTGCTTTTTCTCCCCTAAATCCCCCCAGTACATACTTGTATATTCTTTAGTTGTGGTTCCTTCTAGTTGTGGCATGTGGGACACCGCCTCAGCGTGGCCTGATGAGCGGTGCCAAGTCCGTGCCCGGGATCCCAACCAGGGAAACTCTGGGCCACCGAAGGGGAGTGCGCAAATTTAACCACTGGCCACGGGGCCGGCCCTCATGTCATTAGTTTTTATCTTTATTGATTCACTTTTCCTTGCTTCTTTGGGTTTATCTTACTATGCTTGTAAGGTTTCTTAGAGTGAATTTTAAATTCTTTTATATCTGTCTTCATTGATTAGGGAGGTAATGAAGGCCTCTGTAACATTGTGAACCATTGTGACAGAACGTGAATGTGTTGTTAGTCAAGAAGATTCTAGGGGCTGGCCCAGTGGTGCAGCAGTTAAGTTCGTACATCCTGCTTTGGCGGCCCAGGGTTCGCCGGTTCGGATCCCGGGTGTGGACATGGCACCGCTTGGCAAGCCATGCTGTGGTAGGCATCCCACGTATAAAGTAGAGGAAGATGGGCACGGATGTTAGTTCAGGGCCAGTCTTCCTCAGCAAAAAGAGGAGGATTGACGGTAGTTAGCTCAGGGCTAATCTTCCTCAAAAAAACAAAAGAAGAAGATTCTGTTTAATATTTGGTTTTACACCACAGCCCCACCACCAAACAAGAGCATCTGAAAAAACAAATTCTTGTTAGAAACAAAGCGGAAAAACGGAGAAACTAGAAATGGAGATTAATCTTAGAGTCTATTCCAAAAGTGTGTTTTTACCTCCTGGCGCTTCCTTGCCTGACTTCCAGACTTTTTCTTGCCTCCTTTACTTCTATTTAGTAAGTCTCTATTCATTTATCAGCTTGATACTTTTGAAAAGAAGCTAGCTATCATTTCATGTTTTTTCAGCAAGATTTCTTTAATATTGCAGATTTCTTTAACCACAAGCTTTTAACCTGAAAAAACAAGAGGTATGTTTTAAATCAGATGTTCCTGAGTTGTCTCTTACAGCAGTTGCTTTTTGTCCTCTGCAGACTACAGAGAGTGTTACAGATAAAACACAAAAAGTGTCACAGACAGTTAAAAACAAGGCAAAGCACTCTTCTCTTCTTTTTCTAAGGAGCAGGCCACAGGGAAAGGCAGGGAGCACCAAGCAGGGAGGAGGCCCCGAACTGGCAGTCGGCCCTTCAGTAAAGGAGGCCGCTGCTTGGGGATCCTTTGCAGCGGCTGCGGATTTATGGGGCTGGGATGAATGGGAAGAGGTGCGGGGTAGAGTCAGGAGGGGCAGAGTCGTTCTGCCTTTGGGAGGCACCTCTTTTCCCCTAACCCTGTGCTGCTGCTTTCTTGCTTTTCCCTTCCCTCACAACATCACTTGACCGGTCCCCAATTCCTTGGAAATACTACTTTTTCTCTCTTTTTTTTTTTTTTTGATTTGTGTGTGTGTGCATGTGTGTGAGGAAGATTGGCCCTGAGCTAGCACTTGTTGCTAATCTTCCTCTTTTTGCTTGAGGAAGAGTGGCACTGAGTTAACATCTGTGCCCATCTTCCTCTATTTTGTATGTGGGAGGCCACCACAGCATGGCTTGATGAGCAATGTGTAGGTCCCTCACCTCGGATCCAAACCCGAGAACCCTGGGCCACCAAAGCGGAGCATGTGAACTTAACCATGCCACCATTTTTTCTCATTTTTTAAGAGTAAATCTTACAAAGATCTTACCTTGAAACATATTTTATTTTTCAAATAACAGTTTACGGTGTTCCGTTAAGGAAAAATTAGAAAAAACAGATCAGCAAGGGGAAAAGAAAACAGAAGAAATGCTCCCCGCTGCACAGTCCCATCACCAAGAGAGAACTTTTGTTCACATTTAAGTAAATACCCTTCCAGACTTTGTTGTGTGTTTGTTGAATATTTTTTAAGCTTTTATTTTCATGCCAGAAGTGTGAATCCTAACCCAAGTGTCATCTTTCTGTACATCCAGAGCAGGGATGTTTACATTTTCCACCAGTTGTTGCGGAAGATGACCCGGAGCCCAAGGACAGAGGATCCTTGGCACAACCGCCCATTACTGGAGTGGAATCTCAGGTGTTCTCAGAAAAACCCACCACCGGCACCTCTGCATTTGAAGCTTCTTCTGAAGTTGAGGGTGCTTTAGAGCAGCAGCAGAGAAATCCCGAAGTGGAGGGACTGAGGTGGTGCCCTGCCCAGGGGAAAAGTTTCGGGTGGTTGGTTGTCACCCATAGGAAAACTCCAACATGAATGTCGTGAATGTGGTAAAGCCTTCATATAGCTCACACCTTATAATCCACCAGAGAATTCATTCTGGAGAGAAGCCCTTTAGGTGTAGTGGCTGTGGGAAAACTTTCAATCAGAGCTGAAACCTCATTCAGCGTCAGAGAAGTCATACAGGAAAGAAACCCTATGAATGTAGTGCATGTGGAAAGTCCTTCAGGTGGCGTGCCGGTGTTGTTCAGCATCGGAGGATTCATTCAGGAGAGAAGCCTCTGAGTGCAATGAGTGTGGGAAGGCCTCTGGTCAAAGCTCGTATCTGAGTCAGCATCTGAGAATCCACAGGGGAGGGAAACCGTTCGTCTGCAAAGAATGTGGGAAAGCCTCCAGGTGGAGTTCAGAGCTTATTAGACGTCAGAGAGTTCATGCCAGAAAAGAGCCTTCCCAGTGTTCTGAAGGTGAGAAAGTCCCCAGACAGAACCGTCCTTTTGTCTAGTCAATTTTAGGGCTAGGTTCCGTAAAGGTTATAAGCACTTTAAGGGTTTTCCTGTGTCCTTCTTGATTTAGGACAAACTGTTTACCTGCCCCACCTGCAGATCACCACCTCCTGTCCTCTGAGTAAGAGACTGTGTCAGTTAGGATGCCTTCTGCTGCCAGTGACAGCCAGAACGCCTCCTCCGTCAGGGCTCTGGGCCTGGCACAGAGCGGCTGCTCAGCCAGTGGAGGTTTTTCTGTCAGTATTACTGTGAATGGGTCTTTGGTCCTGGCCCTTTCTCAGACCGACACTGGTCTTCCCCTCTGGACAGGGGCACATCTGCAAGTGTCCAGGCATGAAACAAACCACACTAGTCATTTGAACAGGGAAAGTTTAATATAAAGAAGTATTGACCAGTAAAAGGAGATTATCTGCTAATGGTTAAGGAGAGATCTTAAAGGATATAGGAATAGCTTCGTGGGGAGCAGCTCCTACCTCTAGGGCTGAGGGAGAGCCAAGGAAGAAGCACACTGAGAAGGGGGCCCCCAGCCAAGACTGAAATTCAGACCTTCCTGGACAGGGTGTGGGTCCAGTGGCGTGCTGGAGCTGGTCTGTACAGGCTTGCAAGAGCCAATTTTGCACCTCTCTTCCCAACCCTACAATGAAATTGGTCACGTTGGAGTATTCACACCATGGAAGTCAGTCAACGCTACAAGTCAGGGCTATTGTTCTTTTTGAATTAGTTAAATAGTTACCAATACAAGACTGGCTACAGCCCACGGATGGTGAAGTTCACCGAGGGGCCACAGTAGGAACCACTGGTGGAGGTGCCAGCGAACTCAGCAGAGGTTGGGTGCTGCACTGGAGGAATAAAAGGAAAAACTGCCGGAACCAGGAGAAGCCCCTTCCTGTTTGCCTTGTCCCTCCAGTGCGCTTTACTGGCAAAGCCTAACATTGTGTCTGCTGGCAAAGGGAAGATGTCTCCAGGTCCAGTTCCCGTATCATGAACTAGGGCAGAGAATGGCAGGTTTGGAGTTAGGAGACAATAAGTTGCTAACTGGCTTGTGTCACAAGTGCATTGCCACGTCAGGACCTCTGTCCTCATTCACCTCCCTGCCTCCATGCTTTTCCCCCAGAGAGTTACGTACATCACCCCTTACTTTATCTAGACCTCTACTTCATTGTCACCTCTTCCAAGAAGCCTTCCCTGACTCTTAAGATACAAGTTTTATTTCTCTGTCACAGCAATGCCCAGAGGTAAGTCGGTGGTCAGCACACTACAGCCCACAGGCCAAATGCAAATCCAGCTCATGGCCCTTTTTTTTTAAAGGTTTTATTTTTCCTTCCTCTCCCAAAGCACCCCGGTACATAGTTGTGTATTATTTTCAGTTGTGGGTCCTTCCAGTTGTGGCATGTAGGACACCGCCTCAGCATGGCCTGATGAGCGGTGCCATGTCCCCGCCCAGGATTTGAACTGGTGAAACCCTGGGCCACCGAAGCAGAGCACGCAAACTTAACCACTTGGCCACGGGGCCAGCCCCGGCCCATTTTTTTTTATGGCCCAAAAGCTAAGAATGGTTTGTACATTTTTTAAGTGTTATAAAAAGCAGGAAAAAAAGAACAAGTATCAGAGACTGTATGTGGCCTGCAAAGCCTAAAATATTTACTGTCTGGCCCTTTATGGAAAAAGTTTGTGAAGCCCTGGCGTAAGGAGCTGCTTGGTTTCATTTCACCTGATGCCTCAGGAACCCATGTACTTTCCGTCTTGCTCTTCCGTCCCATGAGCTAGAATGGTTTTGTCCACATGGTTGGAGCTGGATCTTTCCCGTAGCCATATTCCAGCTACAGGAAAAGCAGAGTGATGATCACAAGGACAGTTCCTTCTCAGCAAGTGTCACAGGAGGCGCCGCAGTCCTTTGGTGAAAACTCAATTACGCGGCCACATCTATCTTCCAGGGAGGCTGGAAAACACCTCCGGCAGGATGGCCATTTGCCCAATAAAATTCTCTTACATGGAGAAGGAGAGAATAGATTTGGGAAGACAATGAGCAGCACTCCACCCCATGGGACATCTCCCCACTGCTGCAACCTGGTGCTGCTAATTGACCAGGGAAGGAGAGTCCTGGTCCCAGAAAAGGCAGAGCAGGATCTGGGAAACAGGCTGAGGACAAGAGGTCAAGGCTGTGGGTTAGATCTCTGCCCTTGGTGGTGGTCACTCCGGAAGCAGCCATCGTTCTGGCTCCAGTGCCCTGTATTTGGCACTCTGAGAAGAGCTGAAACCAGAAAAACATTTTGTAGGCAAAGTGTTGACCTGAAACCATCTGTTTTGACTTCATTAGGACAAAAGGATGTATTCCAACAACAGAGGTTCTGTGTGCTTAGTTTAATGTTACAGGAACTAGTTCCTTATCCTTGAGGGGATTCTGGGAGTTGAAGGTGCCATACTTGTATAATCATAATCTGGTCCTGTTGTGTATGAGTACCCTGCTCATGTGCATTTTGGGTTTTTTTGTTTTGTTTGCTGAGGAGGATTCGCCCTGAGCTAACATCTGCTGCCAGTCTTCCTCTTTTTGTACGTGAGCTGCCACCACAGCATGGCCACTGACAGACGTTGGTGTAGGTCCACGCCCAAGAACTGAAGCCGGGCCGCCAAAGCAGAGAGCGCCAAACTTAACCACTAGGCCACTGGGGCTGGCCCCACATGTGCATTTTGGAATTCACTGATAGCAGGAGGTCCCCCCAGCTGTGCGGCTGAATAAACAAAAGAACTGGTACCTGCTAACAAGAGTGTGGTCTTTGGTCAACAGCAGGAGAAAAAGGAAGAAACAGACTGTACCTTGTCTCGGGAAGCTGATGGACCACCTAGGGATGCCATATAAACACCCTTAGTAGAGATTCCACAGCAGATTCACTGTACTGGATACTGGTGACCTGGTCTGGAGGAAGTGGGTACCCAGGTACATTGAGGGCCAAGACCACTGGGGTTGGTAAGAAATACAGACAAAAGATTGTCCTCTACCTGACAGGTACAGAGCTGCTTGTTTATTCCATTAGACATCCAGGGCAAGCTCTCCCATCAGAAGGGGTGAGCAAGGCACTTGTATGCCTACAGAAAGAGAAAAAGATTTTGTTTATGCAAACGAGTCAATTCCTGGACCCCTCTTCAGGGATCGTGAGCAAAGTCTTTTAATATAACGAAACCAAGATCAGGGAATAATTGCAGTTAGAACAGTTTCATTTACAAGATCATAGACTTTCAGGTGAGTTCTTTTCCATGATGTTTATTTCTTTGGCTCCACCAGGAAAACTGCAGAAGCAGGAAGAGGTAAGAAGCAAGATAGCCGTGTCTGGAGTGAGGATGTGGACTGTGGAGGAAGGCACTCACAGACTGAGCCAAGGGGTTTGGGCGTTTGATCTGGCAGGAGCCTCTCTCTGTCCCATCTTCCAGGTTTCCCTTGCACCATGGTTTTTAGGGTGTGGCCACTGAGGAGGGCAGCCGCTTCAGAAATTGCCCCTGAGAAGGCAGACTGTCTGGGGATTGGGTGGCATGGAGAGAGTGCAACAGTTCCTTCCTAGAACATCTTCAAGGGTTCAAGCATCTTCTGTTCTGTTCAGCAGATGGCTCTTGAGCAGCAGTCTGCGCTGTGCAGTCCCCAGCCTGCAGGGGCTCTGGGTTACAGTTGGTAGAACCCGTCTCAGCAGCAGTGGACAGTGTAGCAGTGGTGTGTGGATCCTTGAGGCAGGCAGCTGGTACAAACCCCAGAATTCAGTACTTAGCCACTGTAGTGACCTTGTGTATGAGTTTGCTAGGGCTGCGCTGACAAAGCACCACAGGCTGGGCGGCTTAAACAGAAATTTATTACAACTCTGGAGGCTAGACATCCAAGATCAAAGTGTCGTGGGGTTGGTTTCTCTGAGGCCTCTCTCCTTGGCTTGTAGATGGCCATCACCTCCCTGTGTCTTCACATGGTCTTCCCTCTCTGCATGTCTGTAGCCTAATTATTAGGGCCCACCCTAATAACCTCATTTTAACTTAACTACCTCTTTAAAGACTATCTCCAAACACAGTCACGTTCTGAGGTCATAGGGGTTAGGACTTCAACATAACGAATTTTGAGGAGGACACAATTCAGCAAAGAATTCCGAGCTCCACCTGAAGACTTCTCCACCCAACGGCATGAAGACCTCCCAGGTCTTTCCCACCTTCGCTGCACTCCTGGGATTCCCCCCACTTGGGAGTGAGTGGAGTGGAGTGGAGTGTGGATTATAGTCCTACTCTGACCAAAGTGCCTCCCCATCCCCACCCAAGTCCAGCTTAGAGAATGCCAGACATAACCAGCAGATCAAGAGCATGGAAGCATTTTGCTCCTTTTTTGGAGTTTTTGGGTAATCTGCCCAGCAGCTGTCCCAGACCTCTGCCCACTGCCAACGCATAACCACCCACCTTCTCAGCAAAAAGGCCTCAAACGATCAACTCTGCTGGCGCAGCACTCATCACTCCACATTTAACTTCTTAGTCCTTCCTGCCGTCTCTGAGGACCGTGCCTTCTTCCTTCTTTCTAAAGCCAACTCTGCCTTCCGTACTTTGAATCTATCATTTCCTACTGCAACTATATTAAATTTTAATGATTAGTCATCAGATAATTATCTTAACAGGCCTGTTTGGAAGTCCTCAAGGACCTGGACCGCGGCAAGGACTCCATAAATGTCTGTGGAATGGATGAATGAATCACACTCTGGGATGTGAAATATGTTCACAACCTATAAATCACATCCGGCTGAGAGACAAAGGCCCAAGTGCCCCGCCGTCACCCCCAGGACACGGACGTAAGAGTCAGCTGGCGCTCCACAGACTGCGCTCGCGGCGGACAACCCACCCGGAGTTCGCTCGGTCCTTAGCGTCCTGACTCCGTTGGTCACCGGCAAAAGCACCGCAGACCTCAATCAACCAGCGCGCCGCGCCGGCCCCCAGGCCCTCAAGCCCCGCCCCCGGGCCCGCCGCGGTCCTGCGCTAACGAGGGGTCCTCCCGGCTTCCTAGAGCGGCCCCAGCGACCGCGGCCGGCGCCTCTCTCGGGGGAGCTCCTGCCTCTCTCTCTCTCTCCCGGAGGTAGGGTGGCGGCCGGGGGCACCTGCCGACTTTGTGGCGAAGCGGCGGGTGCAGGCACAGTCGGGTCCACCAGAGGAAAACCCTGGCTGCAAAGCGTGTTACAAACAAGTGAAAAATGAGTGTTCCCGTCGGCGGTACTGCAGGAGACTCTGGAGTCGGGCCGAGTCCCGTGCCGAGCCCCAGGCTGGGAGACCAGGAAGGGGAGGGGCGGCGCGGGGCATGGAGAAGGGAGCGAGCTTGGGTCCCGGCTCGTGGAGGCGGCTTCGCCTGTGCGGTCCGCCACCCTCACGCCGCCTCTCTCGTTCCCAGCTCTCAGAGCTGCGGGAGAGCGGGGCGCCGGGTGATCACCTGCGGACTGCAGCAGCGACGCCTTCTGCTCCGCGGCGCTGCCCGCCGTGTCGCTTCGAGCTCGGCCCCCGCGTCTAGCACAGGTTCTAACGCTTCGCAGGCACTCAGCAAGTGGTTGATGACCGCGCACCGACTTGCGTTACTGAGGCGCCCTTCCTCAGCTTATTGCCAGAATCGTCCCCGCCCCTTCCCACTGAGTTTTAGTGAGGTTCCAGCTCTTGTCCATTTTCAGGGGTTCACTCAGGTAGGTTGTTTTGACTTAGCTTCATCCCCAACGCTGAGGAATGCGCTGAGGGAGAGGTTATTGCAGGTTACTTGGTAATCTTTTTGAAAAGTAAAAGTTTGCTTTTAGGAAAGTGTAAAGGAGTACAGGGGTCCAAGGATGGGTTGCAGGTGGTTCATGAATTCCCTGAAATTGCATGCACATTTTTCTAGGCAGAGCTTTCCTGAGACTCAGAGATCCCTGACCTAACCTTAGGAACCTGCCTTACACCAGGAGTCACTTAGAAAACACGTAATAATAACAATAATAGACACCAACCCTTCAGTTTCAATGATTTTTTTTAAAAAAAATAGACTATCCAGATTCAGAATCTCTTACATTAAGTGAATCATGAAAAACGTGTAAATATACCCCTATTATTTATATATACAGATAAATATATTCATATATATATTAACAAAATAGATAACACTTGTTCTGTTATGAAAGGTAAAGGATCTCAGCAAGGAAAGCAGATCAAGGACAGAGTGAAGAGCACATGCAACACCAGACGCTAGCAGAGCACAGCATGTGGAGTACTTAGGTAAGGGTGAAACTTAGAGGACGGAGATGAAACTGGCATACAAAGTCATATTAAAACCATAATGAAATGACGTACTTTGGAATAATAAACATTAGAAAGGTATCAAATCAGTAAAATTGTAAAGAAATACTTTATTCACCCAGAAGTGTGAGTATACCAGTAAAACTGTTTGAGAAGGATGAAAATGTATATGGACATAGCTGCAAAAATTCTGAAGGGTATTTCTGGGTATTTAGGTAGATCTTTGAGATTGTGAGGCCTGGTTTTTCTAATGGTCTAAAATTAAGAAAATTCATGTCTTTTCTTTTCCTTGATAGAATTCTATTTGCACAAAATTGTGACTACCAGTCATAATTATGGTCAGATTTTGACTCCCAAGTAAATTGAGAGGGAAGGAGGCAAACAGAAGAAAAGAGAGCAATCTTCCTGAGATAACCAGATGAGAGGTGTACCAGGGAACGAAGTTACAGAAAGTGTGCGTGGCGTATGTAACAAGGTGCAGATCATTTCATTCACAAGAATTCCTCTTGGGAAAGCACTAATATGTGTGCATTTATATACTGGAAGATTCTTCTTGGAATGAAATGTGAGACGTCCCTTTAAGAATATGCTCAGGTACAGTACAAGTGGGTCACTAAATTGGCTTCTAAGGTTCCAATGCGTGGACTGTTAACTAAAGGGCCTTTTCTTTTGCTAAGTAGTGGGTTTAAGACGGTAATTAAGCTGGGGGAGAGGACTGGATATCCGGCAAGAAAAAAGTTGTTGAGGTGACTGAGCCCGGAGAGGGGGAAGACAAAGAGAAAAACCTACAGTGGCAGGTTGGCCAAGAGGGACTTCTGAGAACAAAATGTCTAATAGGATGTACCCCCTTCTCTACCTCTTACAGCATCTTCAGTAAAGTCCATACTACTCATGGATGCGTTTGTGTGAGTGGATTCTTTGGCGGGAGCTTGAAGAGTTGCTGAGTTCTATATCAGGGGCTGGCAAGGGGTGAATGTGGAAATAAAATATGCAAACACAGGAATAAGAAGTTAAAGAGATAGGTGACATACAGGTTTCACTTGAGAAAGGTAGTCTGGGTATAATTCAATTTGAACATGAGCAACAAACAAAGGAAGGAGAGCACACTGCACTTGTAATCACTGTAAGGAAAGAGATGTCACAGAACTTCTGCTGAGAGTCTGACTGCTGGAGGCAGAGGTACATGATGTGGAAACTGTGATGTGTGTGTACAGCCCTCAAGTCAAGGGTCTGAACCTGGGGAACACATACTGGGGTACAGAATAAAGCCACTTTGTGGGTTTTGGCTGTGACCAGTTATGCTTCCAAGGACACGATTTAAATCTATTATATTCAAATCCATGTAGTAATTAATAACTAGTAAAAAATGTGCACAAGGTTTCAAATAAGGCAGTAATGAATCTGCCTATCCATAACACAGCACAGGGGTTAAGAGCCCAGACCAGGGTTGGAGTCTTGGCTGTCGGACTTACCAGCTGTGTGATCAAGGGGTAAGGTACTTATCCCCTGCCCCTCTGCATCTTTAAAATCAGGGTAAGAGCACTCACATCATTGATGGTGGTGCAACTCTGTAAATTAACTAAAAAGCTGAACACTTAAAAGCAGGTGAATTTTATGGTGTGTCAATTATACCTCAATAAAACATTTTTTTTAAGAGTACTCACATCATTGAGATGTTGTGAAAATAAAAATGTAGACTATCTGGCACTGTGCCTGGCATATAATAAACAATAAATAATACTAGTGATTAGTATTAATGTAATAAAGAAGAGGTTAAAGCATAGAACACTGAAGATTATAAAGTTAGATTTAAAAAAAAAGAATCAAGGAATTATTGGGCTGGTTGAAACTTCAGAGATCATTCAGTTCAAGTCCCTTCATTTTCCAGATGAGAAAGTTAGGGCCCAGCAGGTGAAGTGCCTCATTCAAGGTCTTCTACCAGACCCCAGGCCTGCTGGATCCCCATTAGTGCACTTCCCACTCCCACCCACTCCCTCAGCAACATAGACACGTGAAAAATCGAGGATGTGCTTCCTCAAAAAAAAAATAACACACAGGAAAACACAGAAAACTCATGTAGAGATGTTGGAGAGAGAATTACAAGGCCAAGGGCACAGAGAAGAGGCGTTACATCCTGGCCCATCAGCCAGGGCCCCCAGCAGCGGACTCCAGGTCATGAGAGCTTAAGTGCTTTGGCGAGGGAAGGCCCTGGTCAGTCAGGTGAACCAGCTCATCACTGTGGCCAGGTCCTGATGACACTGGCTACTTCCTGACACAGGATCTGTCAGCAGCAACAGGAACTGGTGCCAAGTGAATGCAGCAGAGTTCTTGGGAGCAGTCAAGTCTGAGCAGCCCTCAAGTGGGGAGTAGCTGCTAAAGAGCTGCTTCTGCCCCTGCTGAGCAGTCTGGCCTCACTTCTTTATCCCCTGGCTTTGCTCATCACCCCCTCTGGATTCTAAGGGCCTTCACTTAGAATCCTGTGAATTGCCTGTCAGTTTCCTCCATCATGGCACCCTCTTCAGACAGGCGAGGAAGCACAGCGGGAGATGTAAAATGACCCAAGCTTCCCACTTCATTAATGCTGCCATCTTCTAAGGGAACTTGATAGCATATTTGGAAGATTTTGAAGCTAATAAAAGCTTACTAAATTATTCCAATGCTAAACAGTGGACAGGAAAACAAGGTGTGTCCTCTAGGCCACAACTTTCTGACATTTCAGGGGAAAACATTCAATGAGTCAACTCTCTCATTTTCAGGAGGTGATGGAATCACGTTCCTCCATTTTTCCTGAAGAGTTAACAATTCAGGCTGGATGACTGGAACAGACCCCTAATGTCATGTGATCCACTAGGGGAGGAGGGAAGAAGGAAAAAGGGACAGAGGAGAATTAAGGCCTGAAACAGCTTTTATGCTTTAACTCAGTACATTAAAACTTCTCAATGAATAGTTCATAAAAGTGCCTCATCCTTTTCAACTATTTAAATAAAAATCAGTGGAAGGACAGAGACGGTCTGTCCATTCATTTGATCTAAAAACTTGGAGTGCAGATTATGAACAAATTAATAAGTACGACTTCAGCTTTCCCACAGAAAGCTTCTTCTTTTGCCGATCATTCCATACAGTGAATGCTCTGATGTCGGAGGAGGTGAGAGCTCCGACTAAAGGTCTTCTGACATTCTTGGCACTCGTAAGGCTTCTCTCCAGTGTGAATTCTCTGATGTATGATAAGTTGGGAATGCTGGCTGAATGTTTTCTCACACTCATTGCATTCATAAGGTTTCTCTCCAATATGAATTTTCTGGTGGAGAAGCAGCTCAGAATTATCCCAAAAGGTTCTTGCACATTCATTACACTGATGAGGTTTCTCTCCAGTATGAATTCTCTGGTGGACAATAAGGTGAGAGGTCCGCCTAAAAGCCTTTCCACACTCAAAGCATTCATAGGGTTTCTCTCCAGTGTGAATTCTCTCGTGTCTAAGAAGTTCTGAGTTCCCCCTGAAGGCCTTCCCACATTCCTTACATACATAGGGCTTCTCACCAGTATGAATTCTAATATGTCTAATAATCTCTGAGTTCTGGCCAAAAGTTTTCCCACATTCATTACACTCATACGGTTTGTCCCCTGTATGAATTCTTTGATGCCGAATAAGCTCAGAACTCTGACCGAAGCCTTTTCCACATTCGTTACACAGGTAAGGTTTTTCTCCAGTATGAATTTTCTGGTGTCTAATAAGGCCTGAGCTATGCTTGAAGGCCTTGCCACACTCATTGCATTCATGATATCTTTCTTCAGTATGAATTCTCTGATGCTGAATCAGCTGTGAGCTAACCCTAAAGGTCTTCCCACATTCATTACATTCATATGGTTTCTCTCCAGTGTGGATTCTCTGATGTAGAATGAGGGCTGAATTCTGACTGAAGGCTTTACCACATTCTTCACATTTATAAGGTCTCTCTCCAGTATGAATTCTATGATGGTGGATAAGATGTGAACTCTGAATGAAGGCCTTTCCACATTCATTACAAGCAAAGGGTTTCTCTCCAGCATGAATTCTCAGATGCCTTCGAAGGCTTGAGTTAGTTCCAAATGTTTTTCCACATTCTTTGCATTCAAAGGGTTTCTCTCCACTATGAACTCTCATATGCTGGATAAGATGTGAGTTCTGATTGAAAGCTTTCCCACATTCTTTACAAGTATGAGGCTTTTCTCCCACAGCACTTCTCTGTGTTTTGTTAGGTTCCAAGTTCTCTATGAAGTTTTGGCCAGACGCAGCAAATGTGCTCACTGCCTCGGCTGCAGGACCTCGATGATGTGCAATCAGGTTTGGGCTGGGTCTACAGACTCTCTCACTCTCATTATTCTCCTGGTCTTTCTCACTTGAGGGTGACTTCTTAAAGATAATCAACCCTGATGCAAAGTCTCTCTCCTGAGGAGACATCTGCTCCATAATGTTCTCTGTGGACTCTCTCAAATGCTCCCCCAACATGTCTTCTTCACATGCTGCTCCAAACTCATGACCCTGGCAAACCACCTTTGGAAGTTTTTCTAATATTGCCCCATGTGGCTCAGATTCTTCAGAAATTTCTTCCTTGGGAATCACCTCCTTGTTCTCAGTCCCCATCTCACAGTCTGAAATGAGAGAGGGCAAGTATGTAAAGTGGCTGTATCATATCTAAAGGAAGCTAATGCTAGAGGAGTATGGAGCTTTGTCATGGTGCTCACAGCACTCAAACACAGTCCTAGTATCTGGTGAAATGACAGGGTGCTGTTAAAGAAGGAGATTTAAGATTATGGTGGACATGCTCAACAAACAGCAAACACTGACTGAAAAGAGTGAGAGAAATTATCAGAGGAAGAGATTTAAGGAGAGAAATAGGAAACAGATGTTAAGGAGATGCTGATGAAAGTTCTGCAATATTAACAGTGAGTTGGAGTGGAACCTGACTTTGGTAGCAAGGAAAATATTGAGGGAAAACGGTGGCCATATTAATAGATGGGTATATGGAAAAGGTTCAGAGAAGGGGTGAAAATGACAAATTAATAGAAATAACTTTGGGCTGGCCTGGTGGAGCAGCAGTTAAGTTCCCGTGTTCTGCTTCGGCAGCCCAGGGTTCACCGGTTCAGATCCCAGGCGTGGACCTACACACCGCCTAGCAAGCCATACTGTGGTGGCATCCCACATATAAAATAGAGGAAGATGGTCAGAGATGTCCGCTCAGGGCCAATCCTCCTCCTCAAAAAAAAGGAAAGAACTAACTTTGGGGTTTATAGAGGCAGTAACCACAATATCCATAGTTCAGTCCTGTGGTACGCACCAGCTCTACACATCAGGGAATTGTATATACAGGGGTTAGCATGCAGAGGGTTAATGTGACTTACCTATAACTAGAACAGAAGTAACTACTCTTGGCTCCCTTACATTTGGATGGAGTAAGGTAACAGCTTAATTTTCTCCAGAAGGTTAGTAAACTGTATCAATACCTACTTTTCTTTTCCCTACAGATTTGAAAGGCCACCTATACCATAGTCTAAATGTCCATAAATCTTTGGGTCAATTTCTGGACTCCACTCAGTTCTATTGATCTATTCCTGCTCCAATACCAAACTGTTCAACCTACTGTAGTTTTATTAAAATTTTTAATATGTTAGAGAAAGTTCTCTCTCAGTCTTCTGTTTCAAATATTTCCTGTCTATTCTCACATTTTTCCAAATAAATTTTAGTATAATTTTATAAAATTCCCAAACTTATCCTGATATTTTCATATCCAGAATGTCTGTGTATGTCTTTTCTCTTAGTGAGTTTTTCTTACATTTTCTAACTGCTCACTACTTATATATACGTATAGCAATGCTGTTGATTTTTACATACTAATTTTGTAATCAGCCTCTTCATGGAATTTTCTTAATACTTTTATAGATCTTAAAGCCTATATATTTTTTTAACTTCTAAAAGGCTGTGGCAAAGATTTTAACTGTCACCCCAACATCCATTCTTCCCTGCTTCATCAGCAACAGAATAATGAATTTATTTAGTGTGGCAATGAGCCTAGCTAAAGAAATACATTCCTCAGCTTTCTTTGCAGCTAGGTTTGCCCATGTGACCAAATTCTGGCCAATGAGACAGTAAAATGAAGTGAAAGCACATGAGACTTCTGGGAAGTCTCCTTAAGGGTGAGGGGATGCATTTCCTTACCCTCGTCTTCCATGCTGTGCCTGGGGCATTACGTCATAGTTGGAGTGCCATCTTGGACCATGAATACACCAGCACACGCTACGACGAGACCAGAGCTGGAAGGAACCTGGGTCCCGGATGACTCCCTGGAGCTGCCACACCAGCCTTGGAATGCCTGCCTCTGCACTTCTTTTATCCAAGAGAGAAGTAAGCTTTTGCCTTGCTTAAGCCATTACTTCTTTTTTTTTAAAGATTTTATTTTTCCTTTTTCTCCCAAAGCCCCCTGGTACATAGCTGTGTATTTTTAGTTGTGGGTCCTTCTAGTTGTGGCATGTGGGATGCCGCCTCAGTGTGGCCTGATGTGCCATGTCCGCACCCAGGATTCGAACTGGCAAAACCCTGGGCCGCCGAAGCAGAGCACACATACTTAACCACTCGGCCACGGGGCCGGCCCCCAAGCCATCACTTTTTATTTATTTGTGAAGCCAAACCTATTCCTAACTGGTACAACAGCCCTGGAGATTTAGCCATCTCTGTCACAGAAATGAGCTTCAAATGTTAGGAGAATGAGCCTGGCCTCTGTTCAGGTAGTAAGCAACCCAGAGATAATATTGAAGTGCCTAGGGCAGCGCATTTGTGCACCACAGCAAATCTGAGGAACACAATCCAACCATCAGTAGAAGTTAACTGTGGAAGCTGATTCTCAAAGGGGAACGGGAAGCTAGGGGACTTCATCCTTCAGACAACGAAAGTCGTGGAATGGTTTTGAAGCCCGAGTGACACAGTCCGTGGTCAGTTAGCATTTCAGGTAAATGCACATTAGTGGCCATTTGGTGGCTTAACTAGAAAGCAGCAGGCCTGGACACAGGGCGATCAGTTAGAAGGCTGATGCAGTCCTCAAGGCAAGGGGTGATGAGATCTAACTAGGACATCAGTGGGAGTGGGAATGAAGAGGAGACAGACTGGAGAAATGTTTAAGAGGTCAAATTCTGTAAGACTTGGTATGTGATTGGCTCTAGGTGTAAGGGAGAGGGAGGAGTCAAAGATGCTGCCCAGATCTCCCTTTATTTGAGAAATGGTAGCTGGAAGCACAGCGGTGCCACCGAGGTCGGGAATACAGCAGTCCCTCCTTATCCACAGGGGAAATCTTCTAAGAACCCACAGTGGATGTCTGAAACCATGGACAGTACCAAACCCTATATATATACTATGTTTTTTCCTATACATTCATACCTATGATAAAGTTTAATTTATAAATTAAGCACAGTAAGGGATTAAGAACAATAACTAATAATACAATAGAATATCTATAACAATATACCGTAATAAAAGTTACCATAAACGTTAGCAACCTCAGCATATGATTTTTTTTTCTTTCCTTATTAAATCAAGAACTTTCACCTTTTCATGTAAAAGAAGCACTTTATGGCTTCTCTTTGGCATATCTGAATTGCCAGGAGCATCACTCTTGAGCTTTGGGGCCATTATTAACTAAAATAAGGGTGACTTGAATACAAACACTGCGATACCATGACAGTCCATCTGATAGCTGAGATGGCTACTAAGTGACTAACGGGCTGGTAGTGTGCACAGCACGGATACGCCAGACAGAAGGATGATTCACGTCCTGGGCAGGACAGAGAGGGAAAGCATGAGATCTCATCACGCTGCTCAGAACAGTGCACTACTTAAAACTTATGAATTGTTTATTTCTGGAATTTTTCACTTAATATTTCCAGACCGTGGTTGACCATGGGTAACTGAAAGCATGGAGAGCAAAACTGTGGCTGAGGGGGACTACTGTACCGGAGAGTGGCTAGTTGAGGAGGTAAGACGATAGATGGAGCTCGGTTTTGGACAAGATGAGTTTCAAGATATCCATACAGAGGCATCAATGAATCCATCAAAATACACTGGTCTAAAGCTCTGAGCATTAGGACTGGAGACAGACGTGAGAGTACTCAGCACAGACGGTAATGAGTATAGTGTGAGAACTGTCAGAGACTAAGGACAGAACCTAGAAAGCCAAAGCTAACATGCAAGAGCACTCCAGTTATCTTCCATTTTCCCCTCCAGATCTTTCCACCTTTCTCCCCCTGCCCTCTGCCCCAGAAGGCTAACCTATCCGGCATACCCAGTTGTGCTCCACCAATGGGTAGCCCCATCAGGAGGCTGGAAGGAGGAAGCAGAGTAAGGCCAGGGTATTTACTCCCCAGGCTCTTTCCTATGAGGTCGCCTTGGGCTGGTGATGTCCCTCAATTGAAGGTCACTCCTCCTCTCAAGGAGCCTATCCTACTCAATCATCTGACTGTCTAGATTTCAGTACTTCTCCTACCTCTTGTCTCTTCAGGCCGGGCTGCTGACACTCCACCACTGCCAGCCCCAGGTTCCTCAACACCCTGCCCACAGCTATATCATTTATAATTAAACTCTTTGCAAATAAACCTTTCTCAAATTATCCTAATTTGAGTGAGCTATTTCCTATTTGGACTCTAATAATAAAGGAGTGGGTGGAGGAAGAGAAGCCTGCCAGTAAGAGAAAGAATGGCTGGTGAAATAGGAGAAGGACCAGAATATGAGTCATAGAAGTCACCAGGGCAAAGGCAGAGGGAATTAAAAAGTGTCACACAGTTGAGAGATGCAGTAGGATAAGAACTGGAAAACATCTACTGGAACAATTAGGCAGTCACAGGTGACCTGTGAGAACAGATTCAGTGGAATGGCAGAGGCAGAAGCCAAGTGGCAGTGGACTGATGAATGAATTTGCTGCTTCTTTCAAAAAATTTGGATGAGGGGCTGGCCCGGTGGCACAGCAGTTAAGTGCGCACGTTCCGCTTCAGTGGCCCAGGGTTCGTCAGTTCAGATCCTGGGTGCCGACATGGCACCACTTGTCAAGCCATGCTGTGGTAGGCGTCCCACATATAAAGTAGAGGAAGATGGGCACAGATGTTAGCTCAGGGTCAGTCTCCCTCAGCAAAAAGAGGACTGTCAGCAGATGTTAGCTCAGGGCTAATGTTCCTCCAAAAAAAAAAAATTTTAGATGAAAAAAGAGGATCATGATGGGCAGTAATGTGAATGTGCTATGGGATCAAAGGATTTTCCCTGATGGGAGAGATCTGAATATGTTTATATTAGAAGAGATGGTGCCAGAAGAGAGAAGCGGGTTAAGATGAGATTCCTAAAGAAATGAAGACCCTGAAAGGCAGAAGAGACGGGTCAAGCTTGAGGGAAGGGGAAAGTGGTGATTTGGGGTGACCTTTGTGTTGCTCTTTTCCCCTGCCCAGCCGCCAGTCATCCACAGGATGGCGGTTACTACCCCCGTCCTCCCTGGGGCCTCTCTGCTCACTCATCAGGGCAGCCCCGGTAACGCCCCCGCCCTGACACCTAGAAGGAACCTGAGCTACTGGAATCCTGAAGCCTTGGAAGCTCTTGGTGCTACCCCTCAAAACGACCTAGA